ATCTCCCTGATAGCGCAAGGGGGTAAGCACAGCACTATGAAGCAATCCACAGCCTCTGCAGCATGAATTCCATCCCCGGCCAGCCAGGGAGCAACCTACATGGCTAAGCAGACCTCTTCTGTCTCACCCGCTGCTTCCCCAGCAGCGTATTTCAGTTAGTCTGCCTGTTCTGTTCCCCACTCTGTCTCTAGTGAGTCCTCTCAACCCCTGAATCTCTGGCCTGTACCCCAGCTCTTGCATACATAAATAAATACATCTTTAAAAAAAATACATAGTTAATAGTATTACTTTGATTTGCTGTATCCTTTTTGTACACTTTCAGTGTGTCCAAACTTTGGATATTTATTAAATGCATGCATTTTTTTTTTACAACTTAATTTTGCTTTAAGCTAGACTGCTCATAAAATTGATCTTGATGTGATAGTTATTTAAACAATTAAATAAAATACTAGAATGGAAAATCTGTCTTTAAATGCTAATATAAAGTCATCTTGCTTAGCAGGTGTGAGTTATTTTGGAAAAACTGAATTATCTTTTTCTTTAATATTTTATTTTATATAATTCTTACATCATTTTTTCATTTTTGCACAATGTATGCATTTTCATTTTGGTTATATTCCCCATACATTGCACCCCCCCTTATTTTGACCCTAATCCTTCCTCTCCTCCTTCCCCCCCTCCCAGGCCCTGCCCCCAGCGTGTCTCTGGTTTATGTTTGCTTGTTGATTTTTATTTTTACTTTGTATTAATTAGTCTTTTTCCTGGTCAAAACTGAATTATCTTGGTTAATTTTTATGATATCTTCGTGCAGTAAATACTGTTATCTCCCAAATTTTACAGGTTTAGAGAGAGTTGCAGTAATTTGGCCATAATCTCTCATCTTAACTCAGACAGGTTGTGGGACCCAAGCCAGTGCTCTTAAGTTTCTGTGTTTCTACCTTGTCATGGATCATCCTGTTTTTGTCTCTAAGATTATGCTTATCAGGTGTTTTATGAGAATGATACATTATAGGGAGGAACATAGGTACAGAGAATTAAGTAAGCTTCTCTAGGGCTTTTACATGAGATTTTCTTCCTTACATGGAAGTGACAATTGTACTGATGAGACTTTTTGCCTGAAATTTGCAATTAAATCAGTGGGGGCTCTGATGATGAAATTTTTTCTCCATCTTTATTACCCACTCAGGTCAACTCTCTGCCCTCTAATTTATTCTCTACCCCTCAGCTAGACTGATCTTTTGTAAAATAGAAATCAGTCACACCATAACTCCTCATAAACACAACTGATAAAGTTTTGTACCTGGGATAAAATCTGTACCTATAATAAAATCCAGACTGCTTACCTTCAGAGTCCATCAGGATCTAGCTAAATCTTCTTCTCTAGTCTCAGCCGGATACCATCTGCTACTCACTCTCTTGACCTATTGACTGTTCTATCTTATATGGAATACTAATCCCCTGCTACTGTATGACTGCTCCTTTTTATCCTTAGCTAAAAAAGTTTAATGTCATCTTGTCATCTTACTTGGACGTGTTATCCAAAGTAGAACTATGTTGTTATTATTTTTTTAAAGATTTATTTATTTATTTATACAAGCACTGGGTACAGTCAGAAGCGCGGGAGGGTGAGAGAATTCACCAGAGCCAGAGTGGGGAACAGAACAGGCAGAAGGACCCAAGTACACTGCTGAGGGGAGCAGTGGGTGGCAGGAGAGGTCTGTGCGCCATGTGGGGACCTTCGCTGGCGGCCAGGGATCTACCCGGCTCTGCAGAGGCTGTGGGCAGCTTCGCAGCCCAGCGCTCAACTACTGCGCCACCAGGGGAGGCCCAGAACTATGTTTTTATTTTTTTAATCAGAGTCCCTGTTTATTTCTTTCATAGTATTTATCACAATTGAATTTTTCTTTTAAGTTTAATTGATTGCAGATTTACTGACTAGGTAAATGGTGGGGGTGGGGGTATAGTTGATCCTAACTCAGTGCCTTATTATATAGCTCAATATTTTGTAATTAATTATGAAAGTGCTTATGTTGATTGTAATAAATGTAAAGTTACAGAATTCTAAAGAAGGAATGATTTAATGATAGTTTTGAGGCTGATGTGATAGCAGTATGAAGAAAATCTGAAGCCTGAGAAACATTTAATTGGTTTGTTGCAAAAAATTCGTGTGTTCTGGTTTTAACAAGGGACTCCGAAATAAAGTTAACTGAGAACATTACAGATGGGGTATGAAGCATGAGAGGGAATGAGCAATAAAATAATTACACTAGGATTTTGAGTTTGAGAACAATAGTAATGGTTTAGTTGGTAGCAATGGAGAAATTTAAAAGGAGTAAGAGTAACTTAGAGTATGTCATTATCTTTCTGAATTTTTAACATGTTTAGTAAAACTTAAGTGAAATCAATATATATGTAAACTATACAAAAAGAATTTAATACCTTGACAAAATTAAGTTTATTTCTCGTATGGAAGGCTAACTCAGCATTTCAAAATCAGTTGATATAAGTGACCATATCAGTAGACTAACGAAAAGTCAAGTAAGGGATTGGTAAGAATATAATAGATAAATTTGAGGTCCCAATTGCCTAGAGTGGTTTAGCCAAATAAGCTCAGGAAACAGCTTTATGGAAATCAGTCTTATATTACAAACTTGTCATAAAGTCCAAATCCCTTATTTAATGGCCCTTGGAGGCTTTTTGGTATCTAATCGCACCTTTCCTACCTGCTTTTAATTTTAGTGTGAACCTCCTATTACAGTCATATTTGTTTACTTAATTACTGCCATGTTGAACTCATTTCAGGATGAGATTGATTACCTGAGTACAAATCCTGGCTCTGTCATCCTGTCACTGACAAGCTTCTACTGTGACTTTGGACAAGTTGCTTCAGTTTTCTTATCTATAAAGTGAAGATTATAGTCAAACTTTTCTATTACCTAGCATGTATTATTAAATGCATAATAAACATTAATTACTAATTATATTATCCAAATATATGTATCCTTAAACTGATAACTCTACAGTGATTTGTCTCATAATAGTAATGAAGAAAAGCCTAGGGATGAGAGAATTTTTTTATCTTACTAGTTTCGTGTACACTTAAACTAAAAAAGGAATAATATTTCAATAAGTTTACTTGAAAAAACAAACACTGAGACTGTCTAAAACAAAAAACTATTAAAACTCAACAATGAGAAAACTTAATGACCCAATTGAATGGGCAGAAGATCTGAACAATTCATGAATGAAAACATAGGCATATGAAAAGATTCTCAATGTCATGTGACACTAAAGAATTACAAATCAAAACAATTAGGTACCACTACTTGCCTGCCAGAATAGCTAAAATCCAGAACAGTGACAGCACCCAATGCTAGTGAGGATGTAGAGAAACAGGAACTCTCCGTGCTGGTGGGATGTATGCTAGGTGACTTAAAATAATGCTAGTTAGTGTTTACCTCACTAACAGAGGGGTACAGTTTAGTAACGACTGATCCAGTAGCCAGATAAATGGTCAGAGAAAACCATTTGAAATTAAGGGATAAATATGTCTAGAGTGTATCTTCATGGTTTATAGGAACTAATCTGGCATTTAATTAATTTAGTTCCTTTAATGAACTTTATAATAAGTTAGCCATCATTAGGTTTACAAAGATGACTTTTTTTTTATTTAATAAATATCCCCATTATTTTCCAGCCTATTGATATAGGTAAAATCATTGATGATCAGAGCTGTTATTTGTCCCAGATTACAGTGTAAGAATTTTAGTCTAGTATCAATTCCTATCTATTTTACTGGTGAAATAGGTGAAACTGCTGGTTTAGCTTTCTTTAATGCAGCATCACATACTTCATCATTACGTTTCTAACTGGTTTTCTAGATTAATAACATAGTACGGGAACCAAATAGTTGCTCTATTTTTAAATTCACTACTATGTAATATTTGTTTGGTATTACTACGTATGTTGTATATATTATTTAGTTATACTTACTGGCTGCTGTTGGAAAGTTTAAGATATTTTGAAGTCAGTGTAAATCTTTGCAAATAAGAAATTTTGTGGGTTAAAAGTGATATTTGAGTGGAAAGAAAATATAAATCCAATTCAAAGATTTATGATAGGATTTCCTTCACATATAAGAATTATCTTTAAATCTGATGTTTGTAAATTTGAAGAGCCTGCATTTCCACAGCATGGAACACTTCTGAGTTGTTGTTTTAGAGCATTTGGATTGAGTGTTATATTAAAGTGTTGAATGGTTTAAAGATTGTTTGCACTTTCTAAAGAAATGAATGCTAATCTTACCTAATTTATAAACTTGTTGACTATCTGGAAATTAAAGGTTTTTAACACCAGACATATAATTTTACTTTTGATGTTTGGGTTATTAAAATAGAGAAGTGTATAACTAGCATTTTGACAGATAGAAAGCAACTATGAATTGAGGGCTGAAACATCACTTTAAAATGTATCAAATTTATTTAGAAATTCTTTTGTCCTGAATTACCCTTTAAAAAACTGCATAATTTTAACCTGGACATTGTTCTTCTAAATTCATAACAAAGTTATACCTAGAAAACATTTGAAGGTAGTTATTAAGACTTTTTAATATACTTTAGATATCTCAAGAAGAGCTTTGTAGCACAAAATGCTTCAAATTCCTTTGTTAACCTTGTTTTAAGAGAAATTTTGAAAACACTCAAAGCATAGCATGTTGTCTTAGTTTGAAATGAGTCCATGTAGGTTATTGAGACACTGTCAAGCTATTATTACTCAAGAGATTTTCTTTGCAAATAGTTTGTGTGTGCACTTGGGATTTTAGTTAAAGCAGATATCAAAACTTTCTTTCCTACTAGTTCATACTTTGAACTTTTTTGCATTGTGAAATTAAGTTATTTATTAACTAATAAAAACTTGTATATATTGTATTTTGCTCAGAAAGATGACCTATATGGATAGTAGTTGACATGGTTTATTACTAATTGTGTTTCATTTTGTAGAGGGCTACAGAGCCAAGCCAGGCTCTATGCCATTGCTGCTGAAAAAAAGAATTATCTTCAAGACGAGCACACTTCTCATAGAAGGAATGCAAGTCAATTTGATTGGGCTGTAATGAGACTTGATAATTCTGTCCGAAGAACTGGTCGCATCCCAAAGACTCTTCTACAAAAAGTCTTTAATAACACCTGCAACTCAGGTATTCCAAAATTTTCTCTTCAAAAAATTGAATTTTAAAATAAGGTCTTATTTGGGAGCAAGTTCATAAAGTATGTTGCTACTTTTGCTATTTTTCATTATTTCTATTGCTCATCATGACTTTATGTTATGATTATGATCTTTCTGACTGTCTAATTCACCAGGGCAGAGTTTTGAGTAACTAAAACATTTTGTTTTAGATGTTGATTTCAAAGTCATTTCCTTTTTACTTTCACTCAACTACTAAAATCTATTTGAGTTGTTTATGCAGCTTTGAGAATCTGATGAAAGCTTGTAGGTCCTCTGCTTTCCTCTTTCCCCTCCTTACTTTTGCCTCCTCCCCACCCCCTAGCCCACATGTAAACATACAGAATTTCACATGTAGTTTTAGGGTATTTACCAGCTTCCCAAAGACCATCTGTGGGTCTCAGTCACATTAAGAAACTATAGAATTTAATGAGGGGGGATACCAAAGAAATGTCAGTTATAATTGTGTGCATTTAAAGACTGCTTTATTAATTTCTTCATTTATTTGGTGTTATACCACTATCACCACAATCAATTTAAACATATTGTCATACCCCAAAAAGAAAGAAACCACTTCATCCATAGCCATTGGTCCCCTAGCCACATCCCTTCCAGACCTATGTAACTGCTAGTATACTTCTGTCCTCAGATTTACATATCCTGGATACTTCACATAAATGCAATCATAATAAGTAGTTCATTTTTTATTTTGTTTTAAAGATGGCATTCTAGGACATGCAGATAAAAGTGATGGGTAAGGGAGAGGGAAGTTGATGTTTTATGTTTAATTAAAAGCTTATATTTCCTGTTTTTAGGTTTGTTTTTTTTTTCATGATCTGTGATTGTTTTAATTATCGTAAGCCTTATGGTCACATGACTTACACATTTGTGCTCATGGTACATCTATGTTAATGAGCTGGCAAAAGCACCATTACCAATCACACATGCATGGTAGTGCTACAAGTATATCTACTTTTGAATGGCTGTTTAAGAGACAATCCTGAACTGTATCTTAGTAAAGAATTCAAAAGTCTACTATCTCTTGTCAAGCATGAGTTTAGAAGTATCTGAACTTATAGATCACCTATGTGAGAAGCATTTTCTTTTTCTTTTTTTTTTTTTGATATTAATAAACTAAAATGCCTTTCATTAAATAAAAGGCAACATTTTAGGTACAGGAAATTTTAATCAAATTGGCATGTTAAGACCAAAAAGATAATTTTATCTTTTGGGCACCATTTGGGCACTGCCAGCTTATCTTTTGCCATTGCCTTTACTAGGCTAATAACACAACTTGAAGCACAGATGAGTCTTGGTCTGTATGTGAGAAGCAAAGGGAATTTCTCAGTATTTAAATATATTAATATAACCAACTATATAAAATCTAAATATAAAACCAATTTCCTACAGATTTGGAGATGGCATTCACCATCTCACTTAAAAGTTGATCACTAATCAAGTACAATTAGATCTTTAGAAGGGGAAACAATCACTGCATTGACGAACTGTAACTGCTATCAAAATTCAAAACACCAATCATGTTCATTTAACCAAAAGTCAATCTTATTTAAATCAGGACTGTCAAACAAGAAAAATATTCTATCAGCCATTCATGATCTGAATTCTGGTGTATGAGATCAATTTAAATATGGTACACACAAAAAAGTCATGAGACATTTCTACTTTGTAATAAGGCAGCGCCAACTATTACTCATTAGTAGCTTTCTTGAGATAAGCTATCAACTCTGCCCTTTCTGACTTCTTAATGCCAGCAAAGATCATTTTTGTTCGAGGGATGTACTTCTTGGGATTTCCCAAATACTCCATCAGTGTGTCCTCTTTCCAGGTGATTGATGCCTTTGTTCTTGTTGGCATCTGTGTAAGAAAATTCAGGGGCCTGGCCTGTCTTTCGCCCAAAGAGTCCATGGAGATTTGGCCCAGTTTTGTGCTTGCCTCCCTTTTCCACAGTATGGCACTGAGCACACTTCGGAACAAAAATCTTGCCCTTCTCAATGTCACTCATTTTTAGATTGCTTTTGTCGCAGGCGACAGGAAGGTTAGCACTCACAAGCCCAACAATTTGTTTTTAGGTTTTAATTGTACTCTTTTGCACTGTTTTTGTCAGATACTGAGCTTAGTCTTTGAATTACTATAAGCAGTGCTTATAAATTTGGTTCTTTCTATTTTTATGTTTTATGGCGTCTTACAGATTACCTACTTTAAGGATGCAGACTAATTTTAAAAACAACTTTTAGCAACATTAGAATTTGTGGACTGGGATAAGATTTTTCCAGTGTATGGATACTATCATAATATATATAGTGAGGAAGGAGACTTTTGAATATTTACAGATTTCAGCTAAAATTTTTTTATATCTATCTATTTGATGTTGGTGCAATGTTAAATATTATCCATTAATCTTTTTTCCTAGGTAGCCCAGGTAGTAATCAAGCCTTGCTTCTGCTGCGCAGCTGTGGTTCTCTTTTGCCTGAACTAAAGCTGTCAGAGAGAACTGAATTTGTGCATAGAATATGGGACAAACTTCAGAAATTGGGTATGATTGCTTGAGTATATAATAGCTATACAAGAGGTAGTTTTTCTTGTAAAATAAATGAGTTTCTTTACATAAATGCTGTAATTCAATTTTGTAAAGGCTACTTGATTCATAATTTTTTGGTAATATTTATTTGGTGAATTATAGTGACACCTAGGGGAATTAAGAAAAAAGTGATTTTTTCATTACAAGTATTTTTACGGCAAAAAAGGGAAAAGGCTTATGTGGTCTGTCAAAGTTATAAATGTGCCCTTGGCCATTTGGTCAAGCAGTTCCATTTTTTAGAATTCAGAGGTTGATATTACAGTGTGCAAAAGGCTATTCTCTCAACTTATTTGTCATAGTACAGATTGGAACCAACTCTGATGTCCCTCACTGAAGGATTGGATAAATAAGTTATGAAACATCTCTCCATGAACTAAAATACTGTGCAACTATTTAAAAAAATGGAAGGGTTTGAACTCTATATATACTGATGGCAGGTGTTCTCCAAAATATAATTGAAAATTAAAGTACAGAACAATGTGAATAGTATGTTGTTCTGAGAAAATTATATATGTTTACATGTATAAACTATTAAAATATTTCTGGAATGTTTCAAAACTGGATACTATTTTTACTGTATACCTTTTGATGCTATTTTAATTTTGAACCTAAGAACTTTATATCTGTTTAAAAAGGTAATTTCAGACCATGTAATAAAATACAATGTTCATTCCTAATTTTAAAACTCAATCAAAAATAGAAGGATGCTTGATTTTTTAACATGTTAAACTCTAAAACCAATGGTTAATATCATGTAATGGCAATGAAATGAGAAACGAAAGTAAAAATTCCTGGTTTTTTCAGGTGATTTCATTTTTTTACCTTAAAATTTCCAGGAAATCAGCTTATAGTAAAGTAGTGGGACATATTAAATGTTCAAGAATTCATAACTTTTCTTAGTTAGGAAATAAAATGGATGAAAAAATTCAACAAGTGTGCTATACTTACTGTACATATACAAACATACTTTCTGTGTACAAATAAGTAAAATTTCTTAGTATATCCTTCCAGAAATGTGTAGGGCCTATATGGAAAAAATGTAGACTGAAGATCACCTTTATTTATTCAATCACAAGATTGAATAAATAAATTACTTCAAAATTTTGAATTTTCTGGAATGAATTTTGTTGACAATTTTAGGTTTTAGAAAGTTTAAAAGAGGGTTGAATGTTGGACTTCAATATAGAAAAGGGCTGTCTAAGTCTAAAAAAGCAGCAGAAAAGTAGAGCTAAAAATTGACTATAAAAACTAAAAATTTCTGGGCCTCCCTGGTGGTCTAGGGGTAAAGTCTAGGCACTACCACCTTGAAGACCCACCACAACTGCCTGAGTTCAATCCCCAGCTAGGGAGCTAACCCACATATGGCACGCAGACCTCTCCTGTCTTGCCCACTGCTCCCCTTAGCAGTGTATTTCAGTAGATTTGCCTGTTCTGCTCCCCACTCTGTCTCTGATGAATCATCTCACCCCCTCGCCCCAGCACCTCTGGCATACACCCCAGTTCTTCTATGCAAAAATAAAATCTTTAAAAAAAAACCCAAAACACCTAAGTCATTAAGTGATGTAATTTTAAAAACATACTTGATAAGAGGTAATCTTTTAAAATACCAAGAAGCCCTTACACTGTAGTCATAATACCTCAATAGATAGATGTGTATTACTTTCTATTATAATTGGTTTTCCTCTATACTGTATTTTTTTAGAGGTTGGAATCCATAACATTGTTTTCTTTTACACTATTCGGTAATCTTGTTGCACAATCATATTGCATATGTTGAATCGCACATGGTTCTCTATAACATTATTTTAGTTAGGAGACTGGGCTTTCAGGCAGACCACCTGCTGATCAAATCTATGGTCACTAGTTCTGTGACTTGGGCAAGAGGAGAGTCAATTTTCTTTGCCTGTAGGATGGGAATAATAATAATAATAATACCTTCCTGGAAGTTCTTCTGAAGAGTAACTAAGTCTCTATGTGCAGAACACTTAATATAGTGCCTGAAACATAATAAACATCCTACAGTCTACTAAGATAAAAACTACTGTTAATATAGTAGAACAGGTCTCTGCCACCTAGAATCTGAAACTGACACTAGGTAACTGAAGAGAGTTGAATAAATATATGAAATTTCATGAATTGAAAAATAGTAAAGCTTGCCATGATGTCATGAATGGGTAAAGTAATATTAAGTGATAACCTCTACTGAGGTGGCCTTAAGCAAAATGGACAGAAAACAGGAAATAGGAATACAAGTAGTTAACAATAGCAAACAGAAAATGGTGTTCAGCAACTGGAAATTCAGTGGAGACGGAGCCTTTAAACAGACTGAGTAACTTGGTTAGTGAGTAAGCAGAATTGGCAGCACAGTCCTACCTGTGTAAGACAATCGTCAATGCATCTATCTCAGTGTGTCTGTAATGTGGCAAGGACTGCTTTATACAGAAAAATCTTTCAGTCCCTTAAAATATAGGGGCATTGTCAACATGTTCAAATAGAGAGGGAATACTAAGCTTCATAAGTAAGAGACTTCTTAATATCTGAATAGGCAGCTATATGTAAATATACGGTAATTCAGTAATTATTGTCTTAAATCCTTAGCTTGCTCTCTTCTGATTGGATTTCTATAAAGATGGGTCTAAGCAAGTGTTGAAACGCTGAAGTGATTATTTTACCCTTTCTGTTAAATTTATGTGCATATATTTTGTGATAAAGAATGATTTTGCTATTTTTCTAAAAATTGATTTAAATTTCATTTCTAGGTACTGTATATGATGTAAGTCACTATAATGCTTTACTTAAAGTCTATCTTCAAAATGAACATAAGTTCTCGCCAACTGACTTCTTGGCACAAATGGAGTCAGCAAACATTCAACCAAATCGAGTAGGTAGTTGCTATTGTTAATGTTTATTGTCCATATCCATTTTTTTTAACCCAGAAAAAATATTATTTAAAAAAAACTAATTGGCCCATTTCATTGACAGGTGACATACCAGAGGCTGATTGCTGCTTATTGTAATGTAGGCGATATTGAAGGTGCCAGGTATGGAGCTATATAAGCTTAAGTTTAAGCAAACACATTTGTAAATCCTGTAAGCCTAGAACATAATTCACTTTTCTGTTTTTGAATTGTTTTCTTAGTAAGGGAAATTATTTCAGAAGTATTTTTTAATCTTTAAGCAAATTTGGTAATATGGTATAGGTAAAATATAAAACTGTAAAAGGGAAAGATAAGTTAATATTGCTATATTTTAATTGAAATTTTGATTTGTTGGGAAAGGTTTAAAATTGCTGGGGTATAAAGCTAGCTTTACTGTTGTTTTTATTAAAACTATTACCACCTAAAGAAAATGTTCTTAGCCAGTTAAACTCTGTTCATTAAAAAACTGGTGATCTCTGTATCTTGCTGATTCATTAAAAAAAATCAGCTATAACATTTTTCTACTTTTGTAAAATTTATTATTCTTTTAGTTGGAAGACAAAAGATATAAGGGATAAGTTGAAATGCATAGTAACACTTTTAACTAAATCTGTCTTATTAAACTGTTTTTGAAAGATTAATCAGTAGTGTAGAAGAAACGATCAGATTTTTAAAAAAAACCTACTGTTTTTAACAATAATACTTTAAGACTTGATATGATTTCTGGGAGTAGGATTTTGTATATATGTTATAAAAAACTGTTTTTGATGTACACTTCCAAGGAGTGTTTTTATTTCTCTTTTTTTGTAGCAAGATTCTTGGATTTATGAAAAGTAAAGATCTTCCAGTCACTGAGGCAGTATTCAGTGCCCTTGTTACAGGGCACGCAAGAGCTGGGTAATGTCCAAGGATTTCTTCTCGTTCTTCTCAAGTGAAGTTTAAATTACAGAAAATTACTAATTTTTATTGGTTTCATTCATCTTATTTATTGTTCTAAATTCTTAAACCATGTTTATTACCTCTTTAGAAAAATCTTGAGTATGTGAGGTAGAACATACACATTTTTAAATAACTTTTTTTTAATTATTCCATGAAACTTTTATTTGAAAATAGTCAATTTTAGAAATTAAACCTAAGCCAAATTGACTTTGTAGAATTTGTTAACTGTTCTGCTAGGGCCCTGGAAAATGTTTTTATTTTTGAAGAATAATTTGCTAACTCTTATTCTTCAATAAAAATATTAATTTCAGTTATGACATATTTAGTGAAAAGGGGAACATTATGTAGTATCTGTGTGATTTTTATACAATTTAGATTCTCTTTTATAGAAGTTACCAGTAAAAATTTGATTGTGAACTTTATCATTTCAGAAATTTATAACCAATTCAATTTGTATTTGTCATTTTTTCCCCTTTTATTTAAGGTAATCTTGTTTTAAATTTTAGTATTTTTCATTGATTCTAAGAAGTACTGAAGAATTTTTTTTATTAAACATAGGTGATATATTTTTTTAATGACAGGACTTATATTTGTCAGTATTACAGTAATCTCTTTTACTTTCTTTGAATTAATTTACAGAGATATGGAGAATGCAGAAAATATTCTCACAGTGATGAAAGAGGCCGGCATTGAGCCTGGTCCGGACACATACCTGGCATTATTGAATGCGTATGCTGAGAAGGGTGACATTGATCATGTTAAGCAGGTATGACTATGTCTTATGAATAAAGATACTTCAAAGGCATTTATAAAAGCTTGTTACTTCTTTATATCTAGTAGAAAAGTATAGTTTATATCTGTTTTTAGAGATAGACTTTGTAGATAATAGTATTAGAGGAAAAATCTTATAGTTTAGTACTTTGGTGTTACTATAACTGTTATTGTTGAAATAGTTTTTTGGGGGTTTTTTGTTTTTTTTTTGTAAAAGAAGTCATCAAACTTTAGCTAGTATATGTTCCTAATTTTTCAGATCTTGGTATTTTCATTTATTTAGCTTTATTAAAATATTGATTTCTAACTTGTTCTTTTAATTATGAAACTGTCTATAGATCCTGGAGAAGGTGGAAAAGTCTGATCTTTACCTCATGGACCGTGATTTATTACAAATTATCTTTAGTTTCAGTAAAGCTGGATATCCTCAATATGTCTCTGAAATTTTGGGGAAAATTACATATGAAAGAAGATATATTCCAGGTAATTAGAAAAATTTTATACTCATGATTTTTAAGAAATTTGGAATTACTAGTCTTAAAGAGGCATTCTCTAGCAATAGGGATTATGGTAGAGAAGCAGTGGGATTCTTTTAAAATCAGCTTGATATGCTAAAAAAAAACCCTCAAGTTAATAAATATATTGGAATATTTTTATTTGAAATGGCTTCATTATTATTTAGACATAGAATCTTTTGGTGTTTGCAGTTCCTAAGTTTGTCTTTCATATTGATTACAGTGTAAAATATTATTTAACTTAGTAACAAAAGTTGTCTTTATTTTCTTTTCAGATGCAATGAACCTCATTTTGCTTTTAGTCACTGAAAAATTGGAAGATACGGCATTGCAAATCTTATTAGCATGTCCTGTATCGAGGGAAGACAATCTAAATGACTTCGGCAGTTTCTTTTTACGACACTGTGTAACCATGAACACGGTATTCTGCCCACTTTTGCTTTGTACACAGTGTATTAGGATGTGAGATAAGATTCCTTAAAATATAAGACCATGTCAGATTAGAACAACTACAAGCATTATAAAAACTTTGATTTTGTGTTATAAGATTATTGGTTAGGAAAAGGATGAGAGGTTTAAATTTTTGATCCTCCAGAGGGGTAGAATATTTGCAGAAGGTTAAGTGGTAGAATATTTGTAGATCCAACTGATGTGGTGCTTTTTATTTCCCTAGCCTGCAGAGAAGCTGAAAGACTACTGTAAGAAGCTGAAGGAAGCCAAGATGCACTCATCTCCTTTACAGTTCACACTCTATTGTGCTTTAGTAGCCAATAAAACTGGTACTGTATTCTCATAATTAAAACTGACATAAATAAATTTTGCTGAGGTAGCTGTGTAAAATATCATGGTATCTCTTTCAGATTTGGCAAAAGATCTAATGAAGGCTCTGAGGGAAGAAGGTTTTCCTGTCAGAACTCACTATTTCTGGCCAATGCTAGTTGGATATCAAAAGGAGAAAAACGCTGAAGGTTAGATTTCACCTTTGACAGATTTGTAATGGTTCAGAAATCCCATATAATAGTTTGTGCAGATAAAGCACATTGATTTCTTAGGAGAAGCATACTTCTACCTGCATATTAGACCTTCTTAGAAAGGTCTAATCATAGTACAGTATTAGGTAAGCATTTTAAAAACAAACATTGGGCTTCTTTTACCTTAATTTCACTAATTTAATTTCTTAATTCATTTCTGATTTATTAAAATTTGTGAGCATAGTTTTTTAAACAGTTCATTACTTTTAAGTGTTTGTAAAAACTCTTTAATTCTTAATTTTACATATAGTGTTTGAAATTAGTTTACTTTATAGATAAATTTTTATATAGTCAGGTTCATGAAAACAGGGCTGGCCATTTTCTTTGTGGATCAGACTGTTTCTTCCTAACTCAGCTGAGTTTCAATAATGAGAGAGACAGAAAAACTTTCATTGCAAAATGACCTGACAGCCTGCTGATTGAAGGACAGAAATTTTCAATCTTTTAAGTTCTTAAGTACATTTAAGCATTTAGCATACTTTTCCCGGGTACACATGGGATGTCTATAGGATATGAATAAGGATTGAACAAATATTAAATTTTAGAGTACAGTATCTAATTCTTTGGTTTGCATTATTGGTAATTCAGAAAGAGTAGTCTCATAAAAAGATGCTTTTAACAGAAGTACTTCCCCCTTGGGGAAACAAAAAATGGTCTTTTTCATTTTATCTCACAGTATAATGTGCTTTAGAATGAGATGCAGAGTTGTTAGTATGACACTGGGTGACAAACAAAATGCACAAACAACAAAAAAAGTGCTTTTAGCAGACTTTCATATTGCAATTTTATTTTAAATATATAGCCGTCTTCTGGCATAAAGGAAATAGTGAAACAAGTATTCCCTAATTGTTTCTGCCTATAAAAGTCTCTAAATCCTTTTTAGAAAAATCTCTGTGAAAACAATATGTTAGTTGATTAACTCTTTGCATATCCCCCAGTTTTGAAAGCTCCAAGAAATAACCTTTAACCCAGTATTTTTGAATCACTGAAAGTTTTCATCATTCCATGAAAATCTTTGAGCATATTAGTACTGTAAACTTTACACATATATGAAAATATTTCTGGTGGCCCCTTTGAAATGTTTGTTCATAGGTAAATTGGCTTTCCTCAACCATATCATGGTAGCTAGACTTGAGTCGATTACTACATTTTTACTACTTTGTAAAACATAGAATTTGGATATTTTTCTATAATTGTAGCTCAAACTAGTAAATAAAATAGGCTTTAATCTTGAATTCATCTTTTTCTTAGAATTTTAGAATTTAGATTTCAAAGGTATCTTGCTGAAAGCATATTCATTAGTGAGGGACTTGAGAGCCATCGAGTTTCAGTGATTGACCTTAGATTTCCATAGTAGAAAGTGGGAATATATTTATTAGATTATTGAGTCTTAGTTTAAATATTGTGGTATATTTATTTTATAAAAACTCTCAGCTGTTAGTTAAAAGTTAGGTACTGGTTTTTGTAGTAAGGGCATTTTTTAAAGTTGTACCCAGTTTTGTAATCAGTAAAGGTTTTACAAACAAAGCTTATACGTTATTAAAATAATTTGCAAGTGCAGGAGGTTTTTGGTTGTTTTGTAACTTTTAAAAACTAGTTTCTTCTTTGCAGGAGGTCCTAAAATATAGTAAAGTATATCTATAATTTTCCTTGGTGTAACAGGGAAATTACTATATAGTTTCTTTAGTGTAAGGTAAGGAAATAACATTCTTTTTAGTTCAATGAATTTGTTCTTTGTCTGGTGGAAGTCATGAGTAACTGTTAGAAATAACTGAAAAAAATAAGCTGCAGTGGTGGAGGATATGGAGGAGTGTTTTGTGAGGAATGAGTAAAGTCCTTCAGGAAATCAAAAGTATTTAGAGGTCAGATCACACTAAACCAAGACTTTTTTTTTTTTTTTTTTAAAGATTTCTTTTCTTTTCTTTTTATTTATACAATAGCTGGGTTATAGGCCAGAGGTGTGGTGGGTGAGAGGATTCACCAGAGACAAAGCGGGGAACAGAACAGGCAGATTGACCAAAATAAACTGTTAAGGGGAGCAGAGGGAAAGACAGGAGAGGTCTGCCGCACCATGTGGGCATCTCCTTGGCTGGCCAGGAATCGAACCCACACTGCAGAGGCTGTGGACAGCTTCACAGCGCTGTGCTCAACCCTCTGCGCCACTGGGGAGGCCCTATACCAAGACTTTTTTTTTTTTTTTAATACCAAGACTTTTAACAATAGGATGATCACATTTTTGTTGTTTCTAGAATTTTTCTGGCTGCAGATCTAGCCATTTCCATCTCCTAAGAAACATTCTTAAGACTCATCTCACTTGTATTTTCCTCTGTGCCACAGTAGAGAAGTTACCAGCTAGAATTTTAGCAGGTTGGCCTGAATGAGAGGAAATAACACAGAATGATTAGGTATCTTTATATCCTTTGGGATATTGGAAAACACAAAAATAAGGTCCACTGCAAAGGTCCACTGAGAAGGCCTGAGTTCGATCCCTGGCCATGTAGCTAACCCACATATGGCACAACAGACCTCTCCTGTTTCTCTTGCTACTCCCCTTTGCAGTGTATTTCAGTAGATCTGCCTGTTCTGCTCCCTACTCTGTCTCTCGTGAATCCTCTCACCCCCTGTACCTCTGGCCTGCACCCAGTTCTTTTATGCAAAAGTGAAAAATCTTGTTTAAAAAAAAAGTATGAAATGCATAAAATAATGTAAGGACAGACCTGAAAACCTAACTGCTAGTTAAGTGAAGTCCTAGAGTAGAGCGAACTTTTCAAAAAGTGAAAAATTGCCTTGTAATGAAGTGAGTGCTTTGTGCAGTCTAAAATCAGATGGAGTTAATAGTCAGTAAAAGTTTTTCAGGTAAATCATTTATCTTTCACAATGGTTTGAGGTATTTTAATTGCTTTCAAAATTTTTTTTTTGTCATTTGCTATTTCTAATGTGTAAGCTAAGAAATTGTGGTTTACTTGCTTGGTTTTATACTACCATTAATTGGCCAGAACCAGGGTTGAAAGCTAGATCTCTTTAAAGTTTAAAGCCTGTTTTTGTTTTGTCACTTCATTGGTGTCTATACCTCACCAGAACCATAGCAATATATTTTATTTATTTTTTTTAATTTTATTTTTATATTCCCCATACAATTGTAACCCCCTTATTTTGACCCCAATACCTCCTTTCCCCGCCCCCCACCCCCCATAGAGTATCTCTGGTTCATATTTGTTTGTTGATTTTTGATATTTTCTTTCTTATAATTATTCTTTTTCCTGGTCCCTTATTTAAGTTTTCTAGATTCCTGCATACCAATATATTTTAAACCGTGGTTTTGAAAGCAATCATTATTGATCAGAAAGAACATTTGAATTCTTTAGATTAGCACAAGTATATTACTAGTGATTAAAAAAACCACCAGTTTTGTCCTCCTGTCAAGTGTTTAGTAATATTTGCATATGAAGAACATAGTATGTTTTGGCGCTTTTATGGTAGTTATAAAGGTTAATAGCATTATCTCCCAGTGATTTGTTGAATCACTGGGAAAATTCACTGAAGACTAATGAATAGTCTTAAATTTTGCATTTAAGTACTGTGCCTGTGTATTCTAGGTAGACCAACGACATGCATGAACTATTTACATTTAAGATACTTTCATCTGTAATCTGAATTTTATCTAAAAGAGATATGCAAATATTCATAACATAGTTTGGCTTTCCTGTGTATTTCTGTGCGAGTGGGAATTTATAAGTGACTTTTGTACTAGAGTGCATTACAGAACAAATTGGTAGAAATGTAGTTTTTTCATAGGTGATATACAGCCTCGGGCAAAGACAGGGACTTCTATGGGAAGTTTAACTAAAAAGACACTAAAGTAAATTTTTAAAAAAATTTTTTTTTTTTAAAGATTTATTTATTTATACAAGCACTGGGTACAGTCAGAAGCACGGGAGGGTGAGAGAATTCACCAGAGCCAGAGCAGGAAGCAGAACAGGCAGAGGACTGAAGTACACTGCTGAGGGGAGCAGCGGGTGGCAGGAGAGGTCTGCGCGCCATGTGGGACCCTAGCCGGTGGCCGGGGATGGAACCGGTGCTGCAGAGGCTGCGGGCAGCTTCGCAACACAGCGCTCAACTGCTGCGCCATTGGGAAGGCCCTAAAGTAAATTTTAAATAGGAAAATAGTTGAATCCTTTCTTTTATTAAACTGCAACCTCTGTCAAATTAGGCAATACCTGAGTGGTTTGACAATTTTCTAGAATTGATCTGTTATAAAGAAGCCAGTTACACTATTTAAAATTAACTGTAGCTATGGAAAACAGGTCTTTTTAAGAAAGTAATAAAATATACTTTTGTAAGTTGGGAAGGGAAGGAATAAATAACATCAATAGTTTCAAGTATGGTGAGACAATAATTCCATAGAGTCAGTTCTCCTAAAGTCATTATTCTTTTGTTATAAAATCATAAGTTAGTAACATTTGGGAATTTTTTTCATAAGTGCTTAAGTTAGGAAAACATTTTTCTTTAACAAGTCTCCTTTCACCCTTCTCTTATCCTTTCCCTTTGTAGTATTTATTCTTGGTACATTTTATTTGTGTAGATCCATCATTAATCCATAATAGTGGTAGTATTTTATGATTTCTGCTCATTTGGGATGCTGAAATGTTAGTCACTTTGCCTAATTGTTTTAAGTTTTCTAATAGTTCATTTTAGAATTAATACAGACATGAAAAGAGGAGGAATTGTTTTTCATTTATAATCAAATTTTTGTTACTCTTCTGCGTTCTCTTTTAGAAAAACAAAATACTGAGTATTTTTCTTACATTTTAATTCAGAAAGTAAATGAAGTGAACTTTCTGATTTTTTAGTTAATTTATTCCCTGTTCTTCATCTCTGCTTACAGGTATAATTGAAGTCCTTAAAGTAATGCATGAAATGGGAGTAAATCCTGATCAGGAGACGTACATAAATTATGTATTTCCATCCTTTGATAGTATACAATCAGTTCGTGCTGTGTTGCAGGTGAGTACAAGTAATGTTTCAATTTCATAATTGAAGAGAATGTGTTTCCTCCCTAATGTTAAAAAAAAAAGATTCCATTAGCTGAGGACTAAATGTGATCATCTGTATATATAATTCTCTAAAGCTTTGTAAAATATATTGGAAGTGTAACATCTGTTGAGGTTAAATTAAAAAAACTTAAAATGGTAAAGCAACACTTTCATTATGTTTGAAAAGACAAGATGAAATATCAAAAAGTTAAACAATATTCACTCCTCATTGTACTCTGCAATGCAGCTGCCGTTTTCTTGTTTTAAATATTACTTTTCACTTCTGTATGAATTTTCAAAATACACTCATGCTGTATTTACCATTTTTTAAAAAAGTGCTCTTGTTTGATTCCATAGCCAAATACTTTTGTCCCCACAAGAATAGACAAGAGGTTTTTGAGGGGTCCTATGAAGGAGTTGACTTGGACGGTGCTTTGGATCAGCAAAGGTTGCAAATTTCCATTTCCAAGGCACAGCACTATACAGTTAGTATTATAGCAGAGCAGCAAATACTTTAATAAGAAATGTTTTGTTCCAAAGATCTCTTTCCTAGATGGTTACTCACATAAAGCTTTGATTTGTCTAGTATTGTGTTTTCTTTCTTTGAAATAACTCCATAATTACACTCCTTTCAAAGATAGAGTTTATGTCTTGAGTGTTTTTACCTCTCTTTCCTTAGTACTTAGCAGTCTTTTGAACGTGTAGGATACATATTTTACGCTTAAAAGATATATTTTAAAAGGCGATTTTCCCACATTTTCTTAATTCCCCTAAGCCTCCTCTTTTTACTTGGCACTTTTCTACTACATACTTCTCAGTATGTAATTCTACAAATTATATTCTCTGCATTTTATTGCTTATCAATTAAATGGTTTTTAACACTGTGCTATTATGCAGTGATTCAATAACTATATTGTAGCTAAATTTGGCTTATATACTTAAATAAACAGATGGTAATATTGCCAAGTGATTCATCATTTACAGTTAAATGAAATTTGATCTCTATCTTACTCTGTGCCTCAAAATAAAGTTTTCAGATCAGTGCTTTGAATTTTTATTTGGTTGTGAATGAGAGAATAGTTCTAGTGTCTTCTATAGTAAACTGTTCCTAGAAGGAAGTCACTCAAAGTATAACAGCTACCAGAATTTGAAAAGAAGCATATAATTTGGAATGTTGGCACTGCATCTTAGAGCTTTTGCTAATATTTAATTATTCAGCTCATGTATTTTTTTTTTCATAATATTTTTTCAAATGGTCATCAGAATAAAGATTTGTATTTAAATAAATGGGAAAGTAGAAAATTTGAATGGCACATCTGAATTTTTTTTTAGCTGGACACATTATAATTTAACTATGTTTTATCCATAGGAAAATGGGTGTCTACCTGAAAGTAATATATTTTCTCAAGCCGAATTGAAAAGTGAAGCAGTAAATGGAAACTTGGCTTTTATTTTGTCATTTTGTAAGTATGCAACATTAGCAGTAAACTTGACAGGTCATTGATTTTGGCGACCATTGAGGGCACCCAACGTAGTTCATGCCCTCATTGCCTGCCTGAGGGTAGTTCAAGGTAACTTTGTTGAAAGAAAGGAAGTTTTTAGTGTATTTTAAGTCAGACTAATGAGACAATTTATGAGTTAAAATTGTGGATAATTTGGAAGTAATTTTAAAGGACCTTAGCAATAACATGGTTTTAGGTTGAATTGGGGACTTGGAAGACTTGGATTCTATTTACATTGAAGCTGCTGATATGGGACCTGGAAACGAGTCTCTTCACTTCTCTTTGCTTCAGATTCATGAAATGAGCATAGGATTACCTTTCTACCTTGTGGAAACGGAGAAAATTCTATGAGACATTGTTTCTGAAAGTGTTGTCTGAACTAATAGCTTGGTGCAACTATAAGTCGCATACATGATGCTTCTTCCGGTCCTCATTTACAAAAACAAAATGTTCAGTGAACACTTGTAAATGTTTGGGTGCTTTACAGTGTTATCACATATTCATAATATTACCTCCATCAGCAGATGAAGGAAGGAATAGAGGTGTTAAATGACTAGCCCCAGATTAGTGATTGAGCCAGGTCCAAGATCTTTTTATTTTTAATATAAAACTACTTAATGACCACCTTTCACCACTATTTATAATCAAGTGAACAAACAATATACAGTGGAATAACATTCCGATTAAAGTAAAGTTGCTGTTTTTCAGCCTTCTACTAAACCAGGAGCCCAGATATTGAAAAGATTGAGTCTTCATGTAAAGAATGAGGTGGGGTAAAGAAAAAACATACAGGTCCAGAGTTTAGGTTATAGAAGTTTGTTCACCCATTTATTCCCGCACACTCTAAATTTCCAACATTGCTAACCATAAGGTTTCCATGAACAAAGTCTTAACAGTTCCCATGGATCATGACCTTTTAAATCAATATAGTACCGGGATTTCAACTTCTTGTAAAGGACAGATTCACTAGAGGAAACCTTTAAATGTGGTCCTAACTAAGTCTTGCTTGGCTAATTAAAACATGTCAGGATTTGTCTAGTTTTCTCATTTGAGTGGGAACTTTGTTGATAGAGAGAAAATTTCCCTGTCAGGGGTTCTGCAAATAAACTGTAATTATATGACTATAGATATAAGATGGATTTTGATATGGCTGTTTTTGAATTGCCCAATTTAAATGTATTTAAATTGTCCAGTTATAAAATTGTCTGTTTACTTGGAAGGTTGCATCTTCAGGAAGAATTTCAGTTTAACTTAAGGTGATTGATTCCTTACTTTGCTAAAATGATGACATCACAGAAAAATGTGCTTATCCATGGTCAAAAAATGCTGTTTTGGTTTGGTGAATGTAACAGGAAAAAAGAGAGAGAAAATTGTTTACATATGTGTTTTATGTATACAAACATACAAAAACCCCAATGAACAAGAGCTCAGCATATATGAGTTAAACACAAATTCTGATTAAAGACTATGGTGGTTACCCCCAGTATTAAGTAAAGCTGTCCTCTAATGCAGTGGAAGCAACTGCAAGAAACTTTTTTATTTATTTGTTAAAGTAACCAGGGCTATAGTTGCAAAATCTCCCAACAACTCCCCCAATACTACTTCAAAATGAACATCAAATTTGATTTTCATTAAAATGTAATTATTTCTTTAGTAAATAAAAAAACCAAGACCCAGATATATACAACACATACATGCACACACACACAAATGTGTACTGTTATTGAGGACACTTCATGTTTGCTTCTTTTGCCAAGTCTACATCATCTGAATCTTTCTATGCCATGAAAAACTAATTCTCCACTGCTCTCTGTGGGACCAATTACTCATTCATTCATCACGACTCTGGAATAGCCTCTTGGTTTTTCAGCAGCATCTCTGGTCGTCTCTGATTTGTTACCAGATTCAGTGTCAGATAAAGATTTTCTTTTTGGACCACCTTTTTCTTTACCAGCCAGCATTTTGAGAATAAGAAATATTTTGAACAACTCTGAGCAATCTAAATTTTCTTCAGTTTCCCAAGTATTATCAGCACCTGTGAATCCTTTCTACTTCAGGGAATACATTCTATCTTCCCATTCACTGCATGTCTGTCCAGTACTTTTTCCACCACAGATTCTTCAGGTTCCTCCTTTTCAACTTTTTTACTCTTTCCATTCTGTTTTTTTCCCCGTTTTTTGCAATGTAGTTTTATTGGAAGGCTTTTTTCCTTTTTTTTTTTTTTTTTTTTTTTTAAGTGCTATTATTCACCACCTCCAGGCTGTTTGGGTCACAGTTCTTTCAAGTCTCTGGCCTGCTTGCCAGAGCTCCTGCCACATTCCAGAACAAGGATCTTCTAACTTTAACTGTATTCTTTTCATCATACTACATTTTAATCTTTATAAGATTAAGATTAAATAAAACATAAGATTAAGATTAAATAATCTAAATAAGACATTTTGAAGTGTCTTTACTTTTTAACATATCCACAAAATTAACTTGACAGATTTTTAGACTTTGTGAAGAAAGGTAACATTCAAAATACACAAACATCAATATTTAGTCCCCTAAAATGTTAAAAAGTTAAGCTCTGATGCATATTCAAGTTGTATAGGTGGAAGCTTTATAAAAACCTTGATTTTAACATGTATTACCTATATATGTTGTTTAAAATAATTCATCGTCATATTGTAAGGGAAGGCAAAATGTTCAGTATAAAAAATGGTGAATGTTGGAAGCTTAGTTATTTGAGTTGAAGATTGAGTATTAACACTGACTGCTAGCTGAGTGTATTGATTTTGCCTTCCATTCTGTGTAATATATAGATTTTGCAAACTGACAAGATGAAAACAGAGAAGCATTAGCAGAGGAATCTGGGCATATACAGTGCATACCCGAGAACTGCTTTTTCCCATTATCATACCATCCATTCCACTTCATTGGCAATCTTGATTTTTCAGACTTGTTTGTTGCTAAGGAAACTAGATGCCTTTTGTAAGCAGGCTTCAGCTTGCTGAGTTGTTTCTGGTCATTTTAAGGAATAGAAACTTGGCAATATTCTATAAAATACTAAAGTATAAAATAAATGTTCAGGTTTTTGCATTAAATTTGAAAATGAAGGATTCTGGGAATTTTCATGTCACTCGTGTGATTACCTCCTCCTATGATACTGGTCAACAGTTCTGTAATTCCTGGCTTGCAGGTAGCTCCACCATATACACTTGTGGTTACTACAGCGCAAGGAATGGCAGGTAGTAAAGAAGAGTAAATGGCTTGTCTTGATCTAGCTGGTGGAGTACAGGAAATACTTCCCATGTATTTGTAGACATGCAAAATTAATTTGATCAATCAAATTAAGGGTTGCTGAAAGACATTCAGTTGTGTCTACTTTAAAATTCTTTAATTGCAGATCATTTTAAAAATTATTTTTAGGGCCTCCCCGGTGGCACAGCGGTTGAGCGCTGGGTTGCGAAGTTGCCCGCAGCCTCTGCAGCGCCGGTTCGATCCCCGGCTGCTCCCCGGCCACTGGAGGAGGGTCCCGCATGGCGCACAGACCTCTCCTGCCGCCCGCTGCTCCCCTCAGCAGTGTACTTCGGTCCTTCTGCCTGCTCTGCTCCCCGCTCTGGCTCTGGTGAATTCTAACACCCTCCCGCGCTTCTGATTGTACCCAGTGCTTGCAAAAATAAATAAATAAATCTTTAAAAAAAAAAAAAGTAACATACCATCACTTTAAAAAAAAATTATTTTTAGGTTTTCAAATGATATATAAAGCCACTGAGAAACTTAAGCTCCTTGTTAAAGGGATATAGCAATTGATTTAAAACCGTTCTCTTTATGTTAAATTTTTGCTCATGTTAGGGGAGATGAGAAAATAATCTTAAAATTTGCTGTGACTTTTCCCATGAATTTATTATTTTTATTATTGAACATGTTAATTTTAATTTTCCACATAAACTGTATCGATTCTGTCTGTGACTTCCTTTTTGGACAATTTCAAATAATTTGGATAATTCTGTAACCACATTGTATATGGAAAAGATTAAGTCAATTACATACATATAAAATGTGGCAACATTTTAATAACAGGAAAATTTAGATGCCTGCTGTGATTCCTTCTTGCTTATTATAGCAAGGGTTATGTGAAGAACAGACCTTCTGCGTTAAAGACTTCACTCTTAAGGCAAATCAGGCTAATGATGTCAGCACTGAAACATCTAGTGTTGTAGATTATTAAATGCCAAACTGAACAATAACTCAAACAACTGTACCGAAAAATAGATTATTAATGTAAGTAAATTGTATAACAGAGGTATAAAGACTTTAGATTGACATTTTGCATGATGCAAGTCATTGATCATAGCAGAAAATGAAATAAGTGTGAGTGATTCTGCAAACACAACATCACTCTGAAAAAAAATTTTCCCCTCATTTATTGCCTTTGAGTAAAGTCCTATGGGTACTGACATCCTCTTCCTTTAGAGAACTACATTGTCTAGTAACTTTTAGCCTTGGTATGTATGCCAGTAGATTAGTTAGTTATTCCCATTTATTGACTATATGAAAGAATATTTATAAACTCATTAGTTGTGTGTATTCATGAAAATGTTTTAGAAAGTAGAATTATTTTAAAAGGGTTATTTATATTATAAATATGTATTATATTAAATTTTGTGGGGAAACATTTTCATTTTTAATATAAATTTTCCAAAATGAAAATTGAAAGGTTTTAGTACAATTGTGTTTCTAAACAAGTTCCTAATTTTAGATTGTTTGTTTTGGTTTGGGATTTAATGGTCATTTTCTTTTGCAGTGGAATCAAATACATTGCCTGTCTCGTTTGCTTCTTTGAGAGGCAGCCTAATTCTGGGCTTTAGGAGGTAAGGTAATCACTCTATATAATGTTCTGTGCCTGAATGTGGACTGTTTCCTTCTGTCTTTTGAACTGCTATCTTAGGAAAGATATTCTTTTTTTCTTTATTGAAGTAGCATTAGTTTATAACATAGTAGGTTTGCAGCATTATAATTCAACATCTGTGCATAATGCATCATGATTACCAGCAAAAGTTTAGTTTCCATCCATGGCTATAGAATTACCTCCTTTATCTACTTCACCCACTCACAGTTCCTTTACCTTTTGATAACCACCAGTCTAATACAGATATTTCTTGTCTTCCAATATTCTAGTCACCTAAAATAATCTTACCTATTTTATTCTTCCTAATAAGTAGTTCATTTGAGTTTGGGCAGTTTTTTATATCATCTTTTCCAAGAAATACACATAGATTTAGTAAAGATCTTGCTTTAAAGAGAAAAGCACTGTTTGAAAATTGTACTCCATCTGCTAACCCTACTGTATTTTGAGATTACTAGGAATGGGAACTATTCTGATCAAGCTTTAACTATTCCTCAAAGAAGTATTTCATATCTGTAAGATCTAAGTCTATATTATAATGATGAATTTTTCTTATTATTATAGAAAAGTTTTAGGATGTGGTAATTTGGCATTTGCATAGTTTGAAGTATTTGTGACTTTCTTTTCCTCCCACCCCTAATCCCTAAAAATACAAAATGCCTAAAAATACAAAATGTTTTCAGTGTCATTGCAACCATTTTCTCGGCATTGTGTAGCTAGTTTGTTCTTTAATACATGCTGAATCAAATGGTTTTTTCATATTTTAAAATTCCTTTGTCAGTACATTCTGTACAACTACTGTAATATTCACCTAGCGCATGTTTGTCCAGGTCCTGTTGGGTGCTCACAGCTTTAGAATGGGCTGAATGATTAGAAGAAAACTGAGTGCTATACTGATTGGCCTTTCCAGTAGAGATGAAATGATTACCTGAAACTCCTATAAGGATTAACAGAAAAGAGATTCACTTAAAACTACTTGCTGAAAATAATTACTCATAGTTAATCAGAAATGTAAGTTGTAGAGCATTAAATGAGATGTCCTTGTCATTTTAGTTAATCCTAAGGGAACCTTGGATATGCATTTCAATGCTGGAATGAAATTTTTTGGATTAGGTGTCTGCCTTTATTAAAAACTGCCAGCTTAGTAGTGGTAGGCCCAAGAAAGAAGGTAGCTGCTAGTATGTATTCTGTAACCTGTTTTGGACCAGATTAATTTTTATGCTATCTCACAATATTTTTGAAAAACTTTTTCTTCATCTTTTGAGAGTAGCATGTAAGTGGTAAATTAGTATTTCTATAAATTGATACGCTTAAGAAATGGGCAGTGAATACTAATCAAGTATAAGGTGTTTCTGAAGTTTTTCAACTTATAAATTAAATTGTTTTCTAATATATATTTAGACAAAAATCACCTGGAGAAAACTATTAAAAATTCATACTGCTTAGTTAGAGTGAGATTATTAGGAAATTCTTAATTTCACACTTTTAAAAAAGTGATTTTAAGGATATCTTAAAGGGCACCTGTCTATCTGATAAATTTGGTGAGTTCCTATCAAAATCCAGAGTGAGAAGGTATTCAGTATGAATAAGACCTAAAAGAAAAGAAGCTTTTAGTAAAACTACAAACTGAGTAAAATTCATTTGGGAAAGAGGGCAATATACATTCCACTACCAGAATTAGAGTGACTTCCAATAGACAAAATGTCACTTAAGCTAGTTTAAAGCTTGTCTGAGAATAGAATGTATCAAAAAAGAGAAATGGTTCAGAACTGATGTGGAGGTGTTTAAGTCTTTGTAGTCTTCTGTGATAGAAGGAGGGGTTTTCTGACCCATGAGCAAGTGGAAGTCTATACCACTGCAGTGATCTTTCACATGTGGTTAAAAAGGAAAAAATCGTTTCTGAAGTTAGGCCTATCAGGTCACCAAGTTAAAATGCCAGATGTTAAGATCCTCTTTTTAGTGAGCCATTGAGACTCCCACTCCTGACGTTTTACAGAGGGAGGGGAAGTACTTCACGATCTCCAATATGTGAATGTTCAGAAAATATTAACTCTTACTAGTGTGTGTCAAGGCTTGGACCTGGAGATAATAGGTCTTTCATGGATGAATAGGAAATCTCTTGCCCCCACATTGTTCTTTGTTAGAAATCAGAAAGTAAGAAAGCAACTGCCAAAGTTGGTTTAGAGGAGGGTTGGATCAGGGCAAGATGTGTAACAAAAGTGCTGAGCTAAGTACTGAAGGAAGGATAAGAATGTGCACTGAGGGAGGAAAGGGCATCCTAGGGAAAGGCATTAAGACTGAGAGGCAGTGCCTTTGGGGACCTGCAGGTGGATTGATAGAATGCGAGCCAGGAAACCATGAAATAATGACAATAAATAAAACCAAAATGGTAGCCTACGGCTCTTCATGCATTATTTCATTCTAACTTACAAGGTTTAGACGTTGAGTCAGGACTTTGATCCATTGAAAGATCGTGAGGAACAGACTGACATTAGATACCAAAGAAGGGAGAGAAGGGTACAGGTAGGGGTAAATGAGGGAACAGGACAGTCTGAAGAGGTGATTAACAATATGTGGAATCCTTTGGGGGCAGGGCTACCTTTTGAGATGAACTTCCAGCTGAAGATACTTTACTTAGCCTTTCTATTTCTTCCCCGAAGCAAGGAACTTAAATACCTGCATGCATGATCATCTTAAAAATAAAATTAAAAAAAAAAAATCATGCACTTAGGACCTAGTAGAGAGACTTGCTTTTAAGGAACAGTTAAAGAAGGATAATATCTGAAAAAGATTAAATAGCATCACTAGGAAATTGGCAGAAATGATCAACACAAATCTCAAAACTTAGTCAAAGCGGACCAGTTAAATTTTGAGCTAGGATTAATGGTAATTTTAGCAAGAACACTTTTAGTGGTGATTTGGGGCCAGAAGCCAGATTGCAGTGGATTAAGGAATGAACATGTGGTGAAGAAGTATTAACTATTTTCAAAAGCTTGGTTTTAAAAGATTCTGTGTCTTTTATTTTATTTTTCTTTTGAGCCTGTGCTATCCATTATGAAGCTTCACGTTCAAGGTAGTGCTTTTAGTCATTTTCAGGTTTTTAGATATATGTACAACTTCGAAAGTTTATGTCCATGCCTTCTTTGGGTACTCGATGCAAGGTTTGAGGGCAAATTAATTTCTTAGCAATATTTTTATTCAAATACTGAATATTCAGAGACATTTGGTGAAAGGTAGGACTAAACTTTAAAAAATACACAAAATCTACATTATTAGTGTTGAGATTTGGAGTAGAGGCACAAAATCTAGATCAGAGGTGGTATGTATATATTTTTTACTGTGGAATATCAAACACTCACAAAGGTGATCTTTTTAGTACCAACACCCAACTCAAGCAGTTTAGATATTGACAGTCTTATCTAGTCCTTCCCACCACCTTTCTTCCTGGACTGTTAAAATACAGACCTCTTAACATTCTAGCCTATAGATATTTCAGTGTACATCTCAGAATTTATTTTAAGTAAAATATCATAACTGCTGTAATATTTTCACACAAGACAAAATTAATGATAGTTGAGAAAAATAGATCATTAAATTCCCAAAGGGCAGAGGAGGTAACCCACCACTGCAAGTCTTGCTGCTCAGTGTTGTGTGCACTTTTGGGCACTGGCCTCTCATCTCACTTCCTTGCAAATTCTGATTTTCTTTTTCCTCCCATTCCTTAGATATGGTAAGCTCTGCAGTCTAAAATTCCTTGGAATTAAAGCTGTTCATAACCTAACCAAGAAAGATGCCTAATTTTTATCAACATAGATTTTTTCACTTTATCTTATTCTTTACTCCATAGCTTTTTATTCTGAACTCTTGCAGTGTTACTCTTTTTGACTTTACTAGTAGGTTAAAAAGAAAATCTTTTTTTTCATATGGAAATGCCATGTAGTCAGAGGAGACTACTGAGTAATGAGTGGATGGGTGAGATGGAAACTATTGTGTAATACTGAGTTGTTGGAAAAGTCATGATGCATTTTTGCATGAAAAACATAGAAAACAATGTCATGACTTTTCCAATAGCCCAATAGTTGCGTGACTGTTTTCCACTGCAGAATAGAGACAGTTTTTTGGTCAGTTCATCATTTCTTCTATTAACTGATATCTCAGATGATTTTTTTCCCCATCTATAGAGAAGATCGTTCTTCTTAATCTGTTTGGTGGCAGGAGGGATGATTTCATCACAAGGTAGAAGATTATAGGAGGGCATGGAACACATTTTTATTTTTTATTTTTAAATAATTATAGAACCACAGGAAGAGAGCCTATGTACTCTCCACCCATTTCTCCTGAATAGTTACATCTTCAAGTAGTTATATGTAACTATAGTAGGTTATCAAAATCAGCACTTTGACATTCATATAATGTATGTGTACGTATGTCATTTTATCACATGTAGATTCATGTAACCTTGAATGAAGATACTGCAGTGAAAATACAGAACTACTTCATTACCACAATTTTCTCACCCCCTCCCCCCGAGACCCAGCACTACTCCTGTAGAGTCATAACTGACTCCCTCTCCTCCACCATCCCTAACTGGTGGCAACCAGAAATTTGTTCTCAATTTCTACAATTTTCTTAATTTGCTAAGGTTATATAAATGGATTCATAAATTACATAATATTTTGAAATTGATCTTTTTTTGGTTAGCATAGTGCTTTTAAAATCCATCCAAGTTATATGTATGAGTAGTTAATTCTGGATGGTTTTAAAGTACAAGTAAATGCCCCATTAACTCATTATACCCAAATGTAGTCAACCCCAGACTGCCCAACATCAAGTTCAAAAAGGCCTTTGGATATTTTACTGTGTAAATGTATTTACAGTGTAAAATTTCACCATTAAAATATATAATTTATCTTCTTAATTTAGATCATGTTTGAATTAAGTACAAAAAGCTTAGAAATAGGTTAAGAGCAGTATTCCTTGGTTATCCTATTTTACAAGTGGTTTTTCAATAAATAGGCAAAATTTTGGTGGGCTATTCTTTTTTTCTTTGAAATAATTTCATATTTATAGAAAAATACAAGTGTAGTGCAGAGAACTCTTTGTATCTGCTTTTATAAATCATCTTCTTTTCTATATTCTGCCCCCTCTTATATTCCAGTTTAGGAATGGATTTTAGTTGTCTTTTCGCTGGTCAAGTTCTTCAACCTTTGTCTTTTATGAAATTAATACTTTTGGTGAATCCAGGCCAGCTTTTTTATGATGGTCCCCATGATGAGCGTCAGGTTTTCTACCCTGACTGGAATGCTGTAGGAGTGACACTGCTCTTCTCAGTGAATCTACCTTAAATACACGTCAGTATCTCATGAGCACCCAGTGAAAATATTTGATTTCTCCATTATATGGCTATTATTTTTTACAATTACGTCATCTGTAGTCTCTGGGCACTTTGAGCCTATGGAAATATTATGCTCCATTAAACTTGAACCCAAAGATTTAGGGATGGTTCTTAATGATACTAGTCTTTTTTTACAATAATCTTTACTTTGTTGTTTGAAAGTAAGTGAAAGTCAGCCTTCCTGAATTATTTCATCCTGATAATTCAGCTTGATTTTGGAAACAATAATTTGCCTATTTGTTTTAAGACTGGTTTGTGTGCATTCATTATGTGTAATAAATGCTAGTGCATTTTAACAGATTGTTTTTTAAATCTCTGGTTCATTTTTAATCCTTTGCTGCCCTCTGCAGGTCTATGAATATAGATCTTTGGAGCAAGGTAAGTACTCCTAATATGGAAAAATCATAAAGTGATGTATGAAAACCTAGTAAGAGCAAAATAGCTTCACACATTTATGATGTACTATTATGGTTTATTGAATTTAGAATCTTGAAGTTGGTAGTTTTAAAACTCTTTCTGATGCATGAAATTTATTATTAAAGCTATCCTTGACTCAGTTCTAAATTCTTTATATGGCTTTGAAATTTTCCAAAGGACAACTGTTAGCATTATTGCAGTGACATTTGACCATACAAATTTAATAATTTTTAAAATAAATATATATATACATTTTGAAAGTATATCTTATATGAATGATAAGCAGACCAGTTATTAACTGCTATCTTTATAAGAAGTAAACTGCTTTTATCCAAAGATATTTTATACATGTATCTTTATGCTGAAGTAGAAGAAATATTTGTACCTTAATAATATGAGAATGTACATTATTTACTGAAATCCCCAATTTAAATATTTTTAAATTCTAAGTATCATTCAATTCTATTTTTAGTGTTACTTACACTGTTGCCACTCAAAGTATATAATGAAGTATCATGTGTGCTGGGAATATTCATGCTTAGTGGCACTTTTGTGACCCAAAAGATTTTTCATTGGTTTATTCATTAAGTATTTTTATTCAAAATTTGTTATTAAATATGGCTGGCATATCTGACGTACAGCTACAGATTCTGGCATTATTTAATGTCTCTTCTACTTGTGTCTTTGTTGATTAAGAAACAGTTTCTAAGTGAGGGTAATTTTGTTTTGCTTTGTTTTTGAACAGTTTCTATCTGACCTTTCCTTGTAGCATGGTTTTTATGGTGGAATGAAATGGTATATGATCAGTTTTGTCTAATTTTCCATTTAAGCAAATATAGTAGGTACCAGCACTATTTTAAGAGCAAATAAGTTTAGTCATAGAATGTAGTAAAGTAGTGCTAAGTTTCTAACGCATATCACTTTGGAAAACAACTCCATCTTTACATTTTTATTATCTTCATCTTGAAAGGGGAATATATAAAGAGTAGTCAAACACTGTTCAAAAGTTACAAGTCAGTACTATAGATTTTGTGATCATTTTCATCATGAAATATGTATTTGGATTTTTTAATTTAAAATTTTGTCAAAATTGAACTTGAAAATAAGTATTGTGTATGTCATTTAGTGTTTATTCAATGGCTAGAAACCCATGAAAACAAAAAACATTAGCACTTTTCGTCTGTTTTACTTTAATGCCATTAAAATGACTAGGGAAATGTTCTCAAAGGATAACAACAAATGCTTTAGTAGTCCAGGATATTTGACTTTATTGTTTCTGTAAAACTTCATTTAAAAGACAGAATGTGTCCAGTTTCAACAAGACCAAGAACAGTATGATAAGAAATAATATTGGTTGATAATTCCTAGAAGCTATTTACTATGTATAACAACATACAAATAGTTAATTTAAACAACACACAATAAAATCATTTTAGAGACTTTCTTAGTGACATTTCAGGAAACATTGCAGTTTTCTTCCAGTATATGTTTGTTTTGCTTTTGTTTTTAAAAGGTAAACCTATTATTTAAAAATGAAACAATCTTCTTGGCAGGTGGGGGTGGTGTTGAATTACTGTGATATAGAATAATACCTTACTCGGGTGAGGCTATATTATTTCAAGAATTCAATTTCAGATTGTGTTTGTTCCTTTTTGCCTCTCTTGCTGCAATGCACAAATTTTCTGTCTTACCAGATAACAGAACTGTTGTACAAGGATGGACGGTATTGCCAGGAGCCTCCAGGACCAACGGGTAGCGTTTCAATTTCGATGATTGTAACTTATCCACAAATTCATTCTTCGGTGTAATGATGGGCTAGAAGGATTACAGCAGTAAACATTTTCTATTTGAACATGAAATTGAAAACATTTGGTTATAAAGCTTAGTATTGATAACCATAGTATTTTGAGAGCTGTAGGTGTTTGGTTTTATCATAATTATTTTTTTAAGACAGGCTTGGAACACTTTCTTTTCAGATATTGAGGAAATGCTGCTTCTTATAGCACCAATGGAAACAGACTTAGTATTTGTGATTTTAATATGTTGCAGGTGTAGTTAATTTTAAACATAAAAAGTAATAAAGAGGTCTTACAGACTTTTTCCTTTTAAATAAAACCTTATTACCCCAAATATATTATTTTGACATTTAGTGATTTTTCATTTTCATATAATGAAAAATACTGTATTTGCTTTTCTTTAAGAAGGTATCCTTGAAGTTCAAATTTCCTATCCTAAATATTAACACATGGCCCTATACATTTTATGCTTGAATGCATAGGAAAATTACTGTTGTTACAAAACATCTTTGTTAATCTTGGTTTTTCATTGACTAATAGGCAGCTCTCCACAAGATTACTGTATCTGCTTATTAAAATTATTTAACTTTCTGTACTCAATATTTAACCATCCTTTCAAATTTTATGTGTTTTCCTAAATATCGCTCACCAAAAAATAGTATAGAAATGTGTATAAGGCATTTATTTATTCTCACTACTTGCGATTTGGACAGGAAAGGGGTAAGGCCTTGGGCAGGATCACTTCTGTCACAAATGGTGGAAAAAAATAGATTGAAGTAAGATTCAGTACTGAAAAGCTGTCACTCGGTCTGAAAATAATTAATATTCCTTTCACTCACCAGTTAGATATATGCTCCCAAACCACATAATCTCTATGCCTCAGTGATCATTGTTGCCATTTCAGAGCCTCTCATCAGGGTGACATCTCACACCAAAATGATTTCTTATAAATTAATCTTGATAACATGACAGTCTCAGTAATTTTAGTGGAATGCTTTCTCTTGTTTTTTTCCACAGAAGCTGTTGGCTATTTTCTTTATAACTTGATTGACAGCATGAGTGACTCAGAGGTACAGGCCAAGGAGGAGCGTTTGAGACAATACTTCCATCAGCTGAAGGAGATGGTACCATTTCATTTTTTGCTATATAATGCCTGTCCTGCCTGACATGTATCTATTAGATTTGAAATTGCTGCTTTTAAGTACAACCAGACCACTTCTCAATGACATACACGAGTTGGAGACTTAAATTATGTCTGAGATAATTTCTGTTAGACAAATTTCAGTTTGGTTGTCTAAAACTCAGAATTTTTTTCCCCCTTCCCTTCCCTTTGAACAGAATATAAAAATTCCTGAAAATATCTACAGAGGCATTCGTAATCTACTGGATAGCTATCATGTTCCTGAGCTGATTAAGGTGTGTGTAATATAATAATCAACTTTTTAAAATGTTAAATTTATATGAGAGAATTTAAAAATTTTATGAAATTTGATGCTTTGGGCCTGAAAATGTTATTTTAATGAGAACCATTAAAACAAGACTTTTCATTGTTTGTTGGTGAATACTGTTTATATATTGAAGAATGCATTTAAAACATGTATTACAATGGTAAATAAAGTATGAACAGAATTTCTGGGAAATTTTAGAAAAATGAGGTGAGACTTCCAAAATTTGCTTTTGACATTTGCTGATACTGTTTTTCCATGTGTTTTCTAATTCTGTTGTAATTTAAATCCCAATTTTAGGATGTTAATATGTTGGTTGAAAGAGAGAAGACAGACTCCCGAAAAGTAAGTAGGTTTTGGGCTATAAACTACATGCTGTCATAGTCACATTAGTGAGAATTCTAGACTCTTCATAAAACCATAAAAATGTGGTTCCTAACTTTTTTTTTATCATATGTATACCTCTAAGAAGTTGATAAAAGTATTCCCTATCTGAGAAAAGTATACGTCTATAAGAAATTTGCATATAATTTCAGGAACTTTATAAACCCTTGCGGTCCACCACAAATCCCCAGATTAATATCCCTAATAGTGTTTATAATAGTAAGGAAAGGTCATTTTAAAGAGAAGAGTGACAAGAGGTAAAGGGTACATTTTATTTTTGTAGTAAGTTTCTTTTTTATTTCTCTTCTGTAAACTGTGCAGCAGCTTTCATCATCTGATTTGGAGTCTACACTTCAAAAACTAAAAGCTGAAAATCAACCTATAGGAGATGTCCTAAAGCAACTCATATTACTGCTTTGTTCAGATGAGGTAACATTTTTTTTTTAGTATTTCAAATATGCTATTAAGGTAAATATTCTGTAAATATAATATTAAACAAAGCCAAATATAATATTTATGATTTTTGCATTTGATTATTATATGTCATGCGTATGAAGAATGCAATTAAATGAAAGGTTAACTAATTTCAGCTACACCTTGAATGGCATGTTTTCAAGTTGCTGTAGTTTGTTTACAATAATCTGCAAAGTGAATGATAGTAACAGCCGTGATAGGTTTATCATACATGCCAAATGTCCTTTCAAGCCATGGCTCTGGTCTCTTATATCTAGATTGTCAAGCAACTGATACATGCAGTAGTCATTTGCAAGTCAAATATTACTAGGTTGTTAATGCAGGGATTGAAATTCCATTTTCCTGCAGGAAAAAAGCTCTTTCTGAGATAAAGGGTCTTTTGCCTTTTTTCAGCAGGCGTCCAGCTGTACTTTGTGTTCATTTTAGTGTGTGGCTGCAATTTGTGGTATATCCTAGACTTTTTCAGTTTCTAGTTCAATATGATTTGGTCGTATGCCTCTTTTTGTCAGGGAATAAGATATAACTGACTATTATTATGACGTGTTACTGTTAAATTCTAAAATATGTCTTCACATTACTTGGATTTAAACTGGACTGTGAAGAACTTTGCAAAGATATTTATTTCTGTATATGGAAATTGGACTGTGAATAGAGGCTGACTTGGTACATATCTATCATCTGGAAGTCTTATAATGCAACACCCAAGGCTAAAGCATCAAATTTGGCATAAATAGTAGCCTGTTTTGCATTACAGATAAATCTTTTAAACCCTATATATAGAACTGACTTGCCTGCTTTTTAAGAGGAGAATAAAAGTACCAAGAAACAGGGTAAAGTTAATAACAGGAATCCGTTTATTTTTCAAATTGCTGTTAACTTTTTCTAAATGCTGACCATCAAAATTAGAAATTTTTACACCCTTCTGTTCATTTCTTCTTCCTTTTTCACTTCAATCCTTTATTTTAGAATATGCAGAAAGCTCTTGAAGTGAAAGCAAAATATGAATCAGAAATGACTATCGGTGGTTATGCAGCTTTAATAAATTTATGCTGTCGACACGATAATGCAGAAGATGCATTGAACCTGAAACAAGAACTGTGAGTACCCTGGCACTGAAACAAGTCGTCACCATTTATGCTGATGTACAGTTCTTGATGCGTCATGTAAATTAAATATTCTCTTATATAATGTAATCTTTTAAGATTCTTGTGTTTTTGGAATTTCGTAATTAGGCTCTTTGATTATGACTTGTTTTTATCAAGGAGTCTTTTAAGTATAAGACATTTTAGTCCTTAACATCAGGGATTTGTTTATTCTCATTGATTATACAAGTGCATATCACAACAGTGGTGATAGAAATGTTTTATAAGGCTTGTTAAACAATCCTATTTTTATGTTGTATGTAAACTTAATTGCGTCAGTTTCTCATCTTTGGTTTCCTATCCTCATAGATTTATCAAATAAAAGTATCTTTTTTGGTATTTCAGTGTTCATGACAAAGCACCATCAAACTAAAGAGTTCATTAATCATTTGCAGATATAAGAATACAGTATATATGTGGTATTAGATTTTTACTTCCTTTGTCACTGTGAATATAAATATATGTAAATTTGTATAGCGCATCAAAAAATAAAATAAAAAGCTGATATGGCAAGGCCAGTGTGATTATAATTCACACTGTTATGAATTTTTGTAGAGTGATTAAAAGAGATGTTGTAGTCCTTTTCACAGTTATTCAACATAATTTAAATATGGCTTTAATTTTTAGTGACCGTTTAGATTCATCTGCTGTCCTTGACACCAGCAAGTATGTAGGCCTTGTAAAAGTATTGGGAAAGCATGGCAAGCTCCAAGGTAAGCGTCAGCACATAAAGGAAATATGTGATGCAAGTATCTTGCCACTGGAATAACATGTGAATTGATATTAATGGTATATCATGTCCTGCAAAGTGCTTGAACACTTTGCATACAAATTTGCATGTGAATCCAACCAGAGCTGCATGGACAGTGTAGGCCATTAGTTTTAATGGATTGGCAAGCTTGTCATTTACATTTGCACAGCTCAGTGCTTTTTGCATTTCTGCAGCTAGTTTTTATTAGCATTGCTGTTTGGAGTGAGTTTGAAGATCATGACTTATGGCACAGTTTGCTTATATGCCTACACTAATGGCTTTGTTTTTGCTTAAAAATGTCTGAAGGCTGAACATAAAACCTATAAACATGACCTTATAAGTAAGAATATGAATTTTGCAATAGTCTTTGTCTTATCTTTTACTAATATTAATAAAATGTGTATTTTATTAAGTTTTTATTTAGAACTCTGCAGGGGAAGCCTAGCTTATTATATCATTGATTTGCATGCTCTAATTTTCTCATTGCTAATACTGAGCCTAATATAATTAGTTACATTTGATAATATATTCTTAATGTTTGCTTGTTTCTTAACTTTCTCTAGCTTTATTTTGAAATTTCCTTTTGAGCTTTACTCTCTTCTTTTTATTCCTACAGAAGATCTTTAAAATTTTATTATAGTGAAAAATGTATGAGGAACATACTTGATTAGAATATTGAATTTTTTCCTAGGAAATGTTTCTAACACAAAAAACTCTTTATAAGGATTTGCCTGCTTTTTTAAAATCACATTTTGTAAAGCGGTCAAAACATTTTGTCTGTGCAATAATTAAGAACAACATTATAAAAATGCACTTATTCCATATCCTAAAATGTTTGTTTCTGCTTTCCTAATGAAGCTTAATGAATCTAATGTATTAACATGCAGTCTTTTGGAAAGCTTTCATTGGCTCTGCTTGGCTAATTAGTATCGACATAGCAAACAGACCCTATCGGTATCAGACCATTAGTCTGGCTGTATATACAGTGTAAACACATCTTTATTATCTGGCCTCCTGACAAGCCATCTGCTGAAGAAACAATGGTGTGATTTAGCAGATGTTAGCTCTGAATGATAAAAGCATCCATTTAGGAGGATCTTACAGCTATAGGGCAGACCGTACAGGGTTATGTGGTGCAGAGTGGGCACACAGTCCCTATCTATAATTTGTAGTCAAAGTTGCATGGAAATGATAAAACCATGCTATTGTGGATTTATAATTGTAGTCTCGTTTAGAAATGCAAGTAGTAATTAACTTGAAATCGGCATTATACACTAGAATTTACATTCCTGCTGTGTTTGAAATGCTGTTTTAATAGCAGTTTGTTTTCCCTACATGAAATTACCTAACGGTCTTTTGTGCCACTTCATTGTAGATGCTATTAACATTCTAAAGGAGATGAAAGAGAAGGATGTTCTTATCAAAGATGCAACAGTCTTGTCCTTTTTCCACATCCTGAATGGTGCAGCTTTAAGAGGTGAAACTGAAGCAGTAAAACAGTTGCATGAAGCCATCATGACTCTGGGGTTAGCAAAACCATCTGCCTCCTTAAGTTCCCCCTTGGTCACTCTATATCTGGAAAAGTAAGTTCACTGAATTTTAAATTTTAAATCTTGGCACTAAAAAAATGAGTAATCATTTGAGGATTATACTTTGCATATACTGTGGTGCTGTGGAAACCTCTGACGTTATTTGCCACATAAGAGAACTTAGGTGACCTTTAGTGTAACCAGCAGCCCTGTGGTGCTGTGGCTTATTTCTCAATGGAATGGTCTACGGGGTTTCTGTTTTGTTCTGTTTCTGTAGGGGCATGTTTCATATTACCTGACATCAGATTTAGTTTTGAACCTTGTAAGTATTGGTTATTAATAAATATAAGAAAGAAGGCTACTCTGAGACTGTTGATTATATTTTGTGACTACTCTTTAGGTAATAATGTGGCAACATCTCCTCAGCTCTCCTTTTCTGCAAATGGTATTTTAATTACGTGTACCAATACAGTCATTCTAGCTGTCTCCCTTACTTGTGGGAAGGAGATGGATTTTGCTGATAGGGCAACATTTATGTAGTTTGAAAAGTTTTCTGCTTGAAATGTTCGTATTTTTGCCCAATTTAAGGTATTACTGGCAATGTAAACCATAAAATCAACCTACTCTCTTATAATGAGTGAAACTTTTTAGTAAGATGATTTACTACTATTTATTTTTTTCTTTTGCATTTTTATTTTCTCTCTTAATTTGCTAGATCTTATCTCTTTATCATCCTTTCTATGGTGTAATGCAGTTTTTGATCTGCTTATTTTGTGATTAGGATTTTCTGATTTTAGTGTGGAGGTTGTCCTGTCAATGCCAATAGAAATATAAAAGCTACGTCATAACGGTTTTCCTATTTTCAAATTTCTGGTAGTTTTTCTTTCTTTAACAGGGGTTAAAACTAATTGACTATAATGAATGGTTTAGTACTGAATTTAAAATGCGGAATAAAAGACACATCTCTTTTAACTAGCTCTATGTTAGCAAATTTGTGTGTGTGTATATATATGTATATACACATATACAAGAACATACATGTTCTGTGAATCAAACAAAATACATTTTATCAAGTTAGTGATTGGCCAAATCTTAATCTCCACAATCTCAGCATTACATCCTTTTAAAGAAATAGTGATTCAAACAATTATTGTGTTACTGAGTTCTCATATTCACAGCCAACTTTATATAGAAATCCTATAATTAATATGCTTCCTACTAGAATTTTTTTGATTGTTTAAAAGACCCATCTCTGCAAATTGCATGTAGAGCTCTGCATAGGGACTTGAAAGAAATGGGCCCAGTGCCCAGAAGAATTAGGCCCTCCTCCACTACTGGGCAAAAATAAAATAATTAACGATGAAAACGAGGCCATGGTAGAAAAGTATCTTACAGATGAAAATACTTTGAAGACAAGACGAGATACAATAGTTTTCCAGAAAAGGTCTGCAGATGGGGCTCATGAACCAAGGAGAGCTTACCCGAGGGAAAGTGGAAGTAGTGTGGTATTCAGATGTTAACCTGGAGCATGCTCTGCTTCCGCTTACACAGCTCAGTGAGATTGTGTCTCAGTAAAATGTGGCTGTCCCTGTAAGTTGGGCTGCAGAAATCTAATCTAGTATCCTTTTCTCTATGATTTCTTATGACTATCAGTTATATAGAGAAATTGTTATTTTTATTTTAACCTCATTTTATTTATTTATTTTGACTGTCTTTGCCAGTTTCATCTAGCATAATGAAAAGGTTTTGTGAGCTGTGTTGGAGGTACAGAAATAATAAAAAGGAGATAAAAGAAAAGTTCGTGTTTATAAATTTGCAGAAGACTCTAGTAGCTTTTCTAGTTTGTAATAAATTGAAGGAGAAAAATTGACTTTGAAACTTTTTTTCAATTGGGGTTTTCTTCAACTGATAGAAGATAACTAACTTATTCAGAATCATGACAAGTGTAGTACTAGGATAAACTACACTAGCTTGCCAAAAGTCCACATGTATTTTATTTGTTTAATCTTCAGCAATATCAGGTAATTGACCTCAGCAGGTGTGAGCTCAATTGGGGAATGAGTTTTATTTATTCAAATTTGAGATAAAATTAGGAAAACCATTTCAGAACATCATACAAAAATCTTCATTCTTTCATTCAAAGGTGAGCATTTTTTTTCAAACATCATTGCAAAAATTCTAAAGAGAATGTCACATATTGTAATTCTGGAACAAATCCATAATGTTGAGTTCCTTAGAAAGAGGATCTTTAAGGTTTAGCAGTTTGAACTGACATTCCCAGCATTGGATAAGACACAGCAGAAATTAATACTGTGTCAGTTTATTACTTGGATAATATATTAAAAAACCTAGTGGGTATGAAAGTTACTGTATTTTGTTTTTTATCCATTTCTCAAAGGAAATTCAAAATAATAGGCTTGCATAATTATGTAGAAGTTGGTAAATTAATCTGCTATATTATCAAAATGATAGCACTTAAACATTTAACGCAAATATGCAGTTGAATAAAATTTTTATGTTTCATTTACACTGTATTGTCCTGTAAACCAATGTGCCTACTACATGTAGTCCAAATGAATGTTATGTAAACATTTTTCTTTGTATACACTTAAAAATATTTTTAATTGCAATCGTGCCTTGATTCTGGAGTATGACCTCTATCCTCCATATTAAGGAAGAAAGAACTACTTTAAAATGCATTAAAAGACCTTTTGATTAGACTTCATGCTTTGGTAAATGAAACAAAATTAATGAAATCTGGGCCATTAGTTTTAAAAGCATAAAAATTTGTATGATGCAGTTTCAGATTCACTTATTTTATAGCTGATCCATTTTGGTTTCATTGCATATGAAAAATATCTGAAGCTGTTTAACTGGGTTATTTAGTGCAAATAATCAAAAAAGCTCTAATTTCTGATTTCCATTAAGGACTTGTTGGTGCTGATTTGTACTGCAGTTTGGATATGCCCATGTGCATTTAAGTGACTCATGAACTATGTAGTTTTTGAGTCTTTCCAGAAGTCTTATAAGTTAATCTTGAGTTCTTCATTAAGGTCACAGTTGCACTAAGACAAACCTATGACAGTGTAAGTTTTAAAACTCACTGTAACAGTTTAATACATAAATGGAAAAAGGTACTTTTTTAAAATGCTAGTTACTCTGTCATACAAACTCCCCGTCAATCTTAGCATCTTCATTTGTACTGGATACTTTTATTATTTATGGGAATGCTTGCTTTCTAGAGTAAAACTCTATATGTGCCGAAAGGAAATTAAGGAGGTTTGGCTCTTTTACTCCATTATTGCAATTAAGAATTTAGCATCATCAGTGCCAAAGGACAAAAGTGGTTCATTTGTCCTAGGGGGACAGGACAGTGATAAGATGATTTTTCGTCAAGGATCATTGGGTCGTAATTAAGTTACATTCATGGCTATTGCTTTTTGAAGGATGATTGGTAAATGACAGGCTTCATGGGCTTCGCACGGACAGTGTTCCGTAGGGTTTTTTCTCCCTCTGTCAGAAAATCCTGTTGAGCCTGATAATGTAAATGTGGCATTTTATTCTGAACAAAAGAGCAGGGAAATGAGCTATCTTGTCTAATCATTCAGTTGTTTAACACCGACTTCCAGTTTAGACTCAATTGGCTGGAAAGCACTTGACATGTGAAGTTAGTGCTGTTCGGAACGCATGTTTGAGTAAATTTTAAAGTAAGTGACAGCTAAATTGTACCTAGGGAAATTACAAAGCCTTCAACACAGTTAATTTTTTGGGGAGGATTAGTTGTAATTGCAACACCAGTCTCCTTGAAGCTTCCTCATTTATAGATGATGAACAGAAAAAAAACATTTAGCTCTTTCAAGAGCTGGTTCTCTTAACAGAATAATTTTTCTGAAGACTATGGGTTCTCCTGAATTGATTTCTCTCTGCACCGAACATCTGCTTAAGATCTGTGGGATAGCTTGTTTTTAGAGTGTTGGAGGTGTTGCTCCCCCCTTGTTTTAAACTCTTTTCTCCCTTAAAGGCAGGCCCCCTTTTTCTAGTGATTTGAGAAAGAGCCCTTTAGGTAAATTGCCACTTCACTAACACTTTGTGCATAATGTTGAAGCACTTTATTCCAATTAAAAATCAATATTTGTTGTTTAAGTGTACTCTCTGGATTGGAAAGTTATTTACTGTAAGTATGGTGGCTAAGTTTAAAGCTGCAGCTAGGTAAATAGGTAATTGTCACTGGTTCTTCTTTGTTTTAACTGTGCAAGAGTGTATGACACATTTGTGATTTTTACATATACATATATATATACACATAGAGAGAGAGAGGGGGGCATTTGTTGGAATTGGGAGTGCTTGTTTTCTGATACCTTTGTAGATGTGAATGTATATGTGGTGTTTTTTGTCAGTGACATTATAGCATACTTTAATTCATAATAAAGACTCAAATGAGAGATAACATCAGATTTGCCACATGAGCATCAGCCTTGCTTTTTTGAATGTTCCTTCATGTAATAATGCAAAATTAGTTTGTAGTAGTTTTATATATGGTTATGTTCCTTTAAAAAGTGAATTCAAGGTTCTGAAATCAATTTTTTTATGGATCAAGAGAATCCATGCAAGTTAGTAAATAGAACTCTGTTAAGTGTTCAAATTACTTACTGGACTCAGGCTATTGTGTGTATGTGTGCTGAGCGCTTAAGTTGATTGAATAAATCAAAACATTTTTAAGTGATTGCTTATTTTTTATTAGTACATATAGTTTTATTCATGAAAGTTAGGTATTTCATTGAAATGTTGGGAGGGAGTCTAATCGTTGAAGATGCCACAGAGGGGTTATTTTTTTAGACATAATAGTATGTTAAAGAGTTGATTTTCTTTTAGTGTTATATGAGACTTGCAAAATCAGTGGTTAAATGTTTCCAGGAAATAAAATTGTATAAAATCGTATTTTATACCATTGGTATAAAAGCTTTAGGAACTATGTATATGTGTTATGAAATAAGCATGTAATCAAAGATTTAAGTACACATTTATGTTATCAGTGATATTTCTTCAAAAGATTGCTTTTGTTTTAGAGTAGAGTTTTAAGTTAGTGCCAGTGCTTTAGACCACTCAAAGGAAACCAGAGTCATTTTAGGCCACACAACTAGCAGTTCTCTACTGATTAGTAAAGTGTTACCCTACATTTCGGGTTTAAAGCAGTTTCCACCTTTTTCCTTTTGATGTTTTGCTGCACTTACTGATTTTATCCTGCCTAATAAAAGTGGTATTTTCACATGATGATTTTCTCTGCTGGTACGAGTTGATGCATCTAATAAGCTCAACTTCATAGAACCTGACATTAGAGTATTAGAACTGGGAGGAACACAAAGGTCTTTGAGTTCAACCATTGTGAAAATCTTTTCATCACCACTTCTAGAAATATATCACTTTGCTACAGTTGAGCTGTATGTAGTACTTACCAGTTGAGACTGAAATTCAGAATACTATGAGTATGTAATTATTTTCATGGCCATGTGTATTTTTAGGTACTTTTTCATATTTCTCATTTCCATCAACAGGTTTTCAAGCTTTGATAGGAAAGATTAATGGTGACATTAAATTATGTGAGGAGTGGACATTTTTTTTATCTCTTCTTAAAGTGACATGATCCAACTACAAGTCAGAATGTAAATAACAGGAACTGAAAAGAACCCATGAGTCATTCTGTTCATAAATCATCAGTACACTCTGGGTACAGTGTTTGAATATGGATTTCTAATTCATTTCGTTGGCAACCTGAGAGTAACATTGGTACTTAAAATTACTAACAAATATATGAATTATTTCCATTTTGCTATTCTTGTCTTTCTGTTGTTGTTCTGATCATGTATAATCTTCAGAAGCTTATATTTGAAGACCAAAGACTATTAACATGTCTCTTTGACTGACAGAACAATTATTCGTACATTTATTGATAGCTTTGACCTAAGTGGGGAAAATACAATTGAGGCAGTACTATTCTAGTTTGGGGATTGATAAAAAGTAAATCATACCTCTTTTAAAAAAAATCACTATGTGTTAGTTTTCTTCTTAAAAATCTTTCAGTATTTATCCATTAAATGGAATTCTGGAAAGGAATAGCTGAACCTGTGTCTGAAGCAAGAGAAAATACTGGTTATATAAAGCTTTATATCATATGTGGTAGCTACTGTAGCATTTCTCTTGTATGACAGTAATCTAGCCTGCAACATCTACTTGCGGTTTTGAAATTAACCTGTAATTTAGTCTTCACCCCAAATGACAAAAATTCAAATGACTCTGTGGGGTGCCAGAAGATGCACTGTAAACAGGGCTTAGTAAGGGGATAAGGTAGAGTTCCCTCAGGATAGGCTCGTTTTCAGTGTGTCAGTATTATTGCAATAAAATTAACACTTCTTCATGGTATTTTACTTCTTAGTACAGCTTAAAATCTTAATCTAGATAAAATAGTAATTCAATCTGGGGCAACATAACATTTGTATAATGGACCAAAATGTTAGGGCTTCAACAGAACATTTAAAAAGGCTTGCTTCCTGTTGCGGTGTGAAAGAAATGGATAGTCTCCACAAAGATAGTCAGTTACTGACACAAGTTCTGCTTCCGTCCACATCAGTAACCATGCCCCTTTTTTTAAATTGCCTTTATATTTTCTTTAAAAAAAAAAAAATTAATTCTTATTCCAAATTGCATCACCTGATTAGATTAAACAAGTAACAGTGCTTTTAATAGAGCGTAATGTATAATTAGATGTATAAATTTCCATCTGAAAGTGAGAGGTCCAAGGAACTGATGGCAGTTACTGTTTACCAGGAGCCTTCAGCAGACAGCCTCTAGGTACTTTAATTTCCTCATCTATTTTAAAGTAAAGGAGAGTGGCAAGTAGAATTGAATTATATAATCTCTTCAGCCTTTCTAGTGTCTTACATTAAAGGAAAAAGTAGCTTTTGGGGACCTACACGAATTTATTTCCAAACTTCTATTAAAGAAATGACTTAATGACAATATGTTTTTAGTACCATGTAAGAGAAACCTTGACTTTGTAATTGGAGGTAATTTTTAAAACTTACCATCTAGTGAAAAACTTTTTTAAGAGTTCTAGAATTCAATGACCATTAAAATATGCTAGTTTTAACAGCAGTAAGTTTCTATATATATGAATTCTGAAGTTATTTCTTACTTATCTAGAGAGGTGACAGTATGAAAAATATGAGTGCTTGAAAATTCTTAGATAGCTATTGATGGATTTTTTTTTTTAAGTTAACATTTTTTTTTTTGAAGATTTATTTATTTATTTGTACAAGCACTGGGTACAGTCAGAGGCGCAGGAGGGTAAGAGAATTCACCAGAGCCAGAGCAGAGAGAGCAGAACAGGCAGAGTGAGCGGGCAGCAGGAGAGTTCTGCGTGCCATGTGGGACCCTCACGGGTGGCCAGGGATCGAACCAGCACTGCAAAAGCTGCGGGCAGCCTCACAACCCAGTGCTCAACCGCTGCGCCACCGGGGAGGCCCGCTATTGATGGATATTTAATAAAGTTTCCCAAATTGGGAAGTGTCAACCATAAAGACACATGGTAATTGGAAAAATATTTACTAGTAGTCCTTGTTTCCAGAAGTAATATATTCTTACAGCAACTTAGATAAAATCAAATTTTATTTATAAGTAATCACAGAGAATGCCTTCATCTATTTGGACCTTTTTTAAACGTGATTTTATGTTCCTTTAGTACACAAAATAATAAAGTATAAAGCAGAAAAAATGGAACTGCTAATGATTGTCTATACTCTGAATATTTATTTATATATAAGCACTGTTTCTCTTATTTTTCTTTCACTTTGGCTTTATTGCATTGTACCTTAAATAAAACTCGGCGGTGTACATTTCGACTGGTCATTATATATCTTGCTAAACTAAATGAGATTTTTTTTTTCATTTTCATATTTTGATGCTTCCAAGGGATGACTTACCTGCTGCTCTTGAAGTCTCTATTGACTGCTATCAAAGGTATAAAGTATTACCAAGGATTCATGATGTCTTATGTAAACTGGTAGAGAAAGGAGAGACTGATCTAATTCAGAAAGGTTAGTTGCTTTCTAATATCTTGTTGTATTTGGATTTCTTTTCCCTCTCTTGCTTATTTAATCACAATACATTGCTGTGAAGAGAAAATTGATCAGGCAGGCAAGCAAATCTAGAGAAACTTCATTACATTTGTAAATTGAAAAGAAAAATATCAAGTATATTTTCAATATTGATAAATTATATATTGATAAATGTCCTTGATTTTAATAACTGTTGGTTTTGAAAAATCACTACTTTGTGGTGATCTGCCTTTGTGAGAATTTTTTTTACCCTTCTCACCTAGTCTTGGGTGCTTAATGTCATAAATGTATGCGGTTAGATAAGAAAGGAATGTGACAGAAATTTGGTTGATAGAGCTATAATCTGTTATCCTAAATATTTGTTTTAAAGATAAAATTTCCTTGTATTTGTCCAGACCTTCAAATGATTTTATGTTCCTATGTATTCTTTCTTCTAATATTATTTCTTTTCTCCCTCTAGCAATGGACTTCGTGAGCCAAGAACAAGGTGAAATGACAATGCTCTATGATCTGTTTTTTGCCTTTCTACAAACAGGAAATTACAAAGAGGCCAAGAAGATCATTGAGGTGTGATTTTTAACTAAGTATTCTAATTGTACAGCTATTTAGACTCTTAATTAGAATACATTTAAAAATTTTAACCTTTAATTACACTTGTTCTGATTCATGTTAATATTATTCAATCCCAATAATGCTGAGGGAGTGGGGGGGTGACTCGACCAGCTTCTTTATTGTATATAATTACAGTTCAGAAAAGGCAATCTGGTTGTATATTGAATTTGTTTCCTCACTTTGTTAAATTCACTGTTATATATCAAAATGGTATTTGCATATTAAATCTTGGATTGTGGAACAATTAAATTAAACTGGCATTCCTGGGTGTAAAGTTGCTAATCCTCTTTGCCAAGGAATTCTTTGTTCTTAAAAGCAGTGGAATTTAATTTGCTGCAGACCATGCTCAGATTTATTTGTAATGCTTGTCTACAAGTTAATCAGCCAAACAAGTACTGTCTGCAACTGTTTGGCATTTAATTTAGAATTTCTTTTTTTTTTTTCCCCCTTTACTATGGTAAGCAGCTTACGGGAAATAGTAGGTGACAAAAACCTGGCCTATTTAGGATTATTATATCTTATCTAGACTTGATTGAAATTTTGCTTACTGAAATTAAGACAAAGGGCAACTATTAAGTCAATCCAAATTGTGATTAAGTTCATTATTAAACCATTATGTGTCCCATAAAATAAGCAAATCATTCCACAGGAAATGGACCCATTGCCTTAAGAAAAATTGTTGAATGTTAAACAATTAAAATACATTTGTCAATATATCACAAACACTTTTTTCTCAGACCAAACTTTGCCATTATTCTAAGTCTCTTTTTAAAAGTACCCATTGTTGGCTGGATGAAAAGATGGTATTTGGCCTCCTTATTTGTATATTGATGACCGCTTATCATAGAATCTAAACTATAGCCTAACAACCCTGAAAATTAGTTTCTGTTAATGTTTTTCAAAGAAGAGAGATGTCTAGTATGAAAAAGAACTATGAGATTAATTGTGAACTCTGTCTCAGAACTCAAATCTGTCCTGTCAGAAGGCAGTGAGACATGCTGTCTTGAAATGGCTGCTTCTGTAGCTCAAGTAGTTCCATTGTATTTTCTAGAAAATGAGAGAAATTCTTTCCTTGGGAGTGTGCAATGTATCTGAAAATAACAGGAGCAGTCTGCCTCTTGAGTTCTGCTGCTCTGCATGCATGGTGCCAATATTAGCAGTACACTGATCAGAGTAGGAATGCAATTCACATTTTCAGATAATAATGATAAAATGTTCTACAGTAGGTAGTCATATGCTTCTCTTTATGTAATAAGCAAGACATAATAGAACCAAAGGCAAAAGAGTAAAGTCACCTTTTGCATCTGCTTGACAGTGTAGTGTAATAAGGGGCAAGTTACCTTTCTAAGCTCTCATTTATAAAAGGGAATATCATATCTCTCTTTGGAATTCATTCACATAATGTATGTAAAGCAGCTTGCATGTGTCCTGGATTATGGTAGTAATCAATAATATTAATTCTCTTGGCCCTTCTAAGGTAAGGATTGTGTTGTCTTCCTTACCCCACATAATTCACAGAATGATGATTAGCATAAGATGCATGGCTGTCACGTGAATAAGCAAGAGAAGACTGCCTCTGAATAATTTTAAAGCTTTGCCAATGTAGTACACCATTGGGCGTAATCATTTTGAATGGCTGTCTACTGATGATAAAATTGTCATAGTGGATATATACAAAATTGCTTAGAGGATAAAGAACAGCTTTACAGAACTCTTGCGGTATCCAAAGGTAGGACAACAAAGTATAATATATGAGAATATAATGAAATACATTTTTAGTTACTTTTTAATTTTTTTTAAAAAATATTTATGTATACAAGAACTGGGGTACAGGCCAGAGGTGTGGGGGGTGAGAGGATTCACCAGAGACAGAATGCGGAACAGAACAGGCAGATTGACTAAAACACTCTGCTGAGTGGAGCAGCGGGCAAGTCAGGAGAGAGGTCTGCTGCAACAGGTGGGCAGCTCCCTTGGCCAGCCGGGATCAAACTTCACAGTTTGCGTCTTAACTCCTTGCACCACCAGCGAGGCCCTTTAGTTATTTTTTTAATGGTTAATTGGAGTTAAATTAAAGTGAGAACTTGCTTTTTTCACTACTCAAATTCCACCTAGAATTGTCATTTCTTGAAAGACTATTGAAAATATAAAATGTAATGAAAATTACTAAAGTAGGCCCATATCAACAAATAAAAGAATATAAGTACTAAACAACACCTTAATTCCAAAAAAAAAACCGCAATAGTGTTTTTTCAATGGGTAAATTCACCAGAGTTGAATTTCCAAAGCAAAATATAGATTAAGCTTCTTTGTATTTGGGCCACAATGGGAGATGAGATAAACCAGACATATAAATACTCACATTAAAAGACGATAGAGGCCAGGTTCAGTATACAGTATGACTGTGTTGTCATGTATTACATAATTCATTTAATATAGTCTTTAATTTTGTAGGAGGGTATAATTATAACTAGTATTTTGCTTTATACTTTTTTTAAAAAAAAGTATGTATGTATGTATGTATTTATTTATTTATTTATACAAGAGCCAGGGTACAGGCCAGATTGGCAGATTGGTGGGAGGGTGAGAGGATTCACCAGAGACAGAGTAGGGGACAGAACAGGCAGACTGATGAAATAAACTGCTGAGGGGAGTTGTGGGCGCGACAGGAGAGGTCTGCTGCGCCATGTGGGACCCTCGACAGCCGGCCAAGATCGAACCTGTGCTGCAAAGGCTGCACAGCGTGGCACTCAACCGCCTGCGCCACCAGGGGAGGCCCTCTTCATACTTTCCTGTATTTTCTGAATTTTCTATAATGAACATACATTTTCTTATACTCCGAAAAATTTTCTTACAAAAGAGAAGAGAAAAAAGTGAATCAGATTAAGATCAACCTTCAATAGCTAATGCTCTTTGAATATGCAATTAATATGTGAGGATTACTGCTTATGAGACTGTAAAATGTTAACTACTATAAGAAAAGTATAAATAGTTTTGAGAGTTCAAGAGTGGAACTTATTCTCATTGTAGGACATTAGGCAAGACTTTCTGAAGAAAATGAGGTCTGAGGTGGGGCTCAGTGGATGTGATAGCTCTTACATTCTTCAGGAGCTGAGAAGAGTATTTAACTGAGGGGCAAAGAAGTAGAAAAGGGAAATCTTTTAATAGCTTTTTTCTTTCTCTTCCCCTCACACTTTATTGAGTTGTAATTGATTTAACCTTAATTATGTTCAAATATGTAAAAAGATGTCAAACTTTAATCATCAGGCTGCATATTGAATTCCCACAGCTTCTCAGGTGAAATGCACCCTTTGATCAGTGTCTTCCCATTTCACCCACTCCCCAACCCCTTGCAACTGCCATTTTACTCTGTTTTATGAGTTCCACTTTTTTATATCCCACATAAAAGTTGTATAGTATCATCTTTCTCTGTCTTACTTATTTCATTGCATAACGCCTTCAAGTTCCATTCAATACCAATAGCAGAATTTCCTTTCTTATGACTGAATAATATTCCATTGTTATATCTGTACCACCTCTTCTTTATCCATTCATCTGTAGTTGGACACTTAGATTGTTTCCATGTCTTTACTATGTCTAGTTATTGTGAATAATGCTACAATGAGTATGGAATGTAGATCTCTCTTTGAGATCTTCATTTCTTTTCCTTTGGATATATATCCAGCAGTGGAATTGGCTGGGTCATATGGTACTTATATATAATTTTTTTTGAAAAACCTCCATACTGTTTTCTACAATGGCTATAACAATTTACATTCCATTAACATGGTGCAAGGCTTCCCTTTCATCTGTATCTTCACTAACTTATCTCTCTGATAACCATTCTAAAAGGTGTAAGGTGATGGTTTTGATGAGAAGCATCTTTTCATATACTTACTTGCCATTTGAATTATTTGAGTAAATGTTCAGGTCCTTTGCTTATTTTTTAATCATATCATTTATTTTTTGCTGTTGAGTTGTATGAAGGTCTTAAACATTTGGGTTTTTTTTGGGGGGCGGCAGAGGGGACCCTTGCTGGCGGCCGGGGAATGAACCGGTGCTGCAGAGGCTGTGGGCAGCCTTGCAGCCCAGCGCTCAACCGCTGTAGCACCAGGGGAGGCCCTAAACATTTGGATATTATTTTTTTTTTTTAAGGCATGTTTTATTTATTTATTTATTTGTTTGTTTGTTCGTTTATACATGCACTGGGTACAGTCAGAAGCACGGGAGGGTGAGAGAATTCACCAGAGCCAGAGCAGGGAACAGAGCAGGCAGAAGGACCGAAGTACACTGCTGAGGGGAGCAGCGGGCGGCAGGAGAGGTCTGCACGCCATGTGGGACCCTCCTCCGGTGGCCGGGGAGCAGCCGGGGATCGAACCGGCGCGGCAGAGGCCGTGGGCAGCTTCGCAACCCAGCGCTCAACCGCTGCGCCACCGGGGAAGCCCAACATTTGGATATTAAACACTTACCTAGATGGTGTGCAAAATACCTTCTTCCACTGCATAGGTTGTCCTTTCGTTTTGTTTCCTTTGCTGTATTGAAGGTTTTTAGTTTGATTAGTTCCACTTGTTTATTTTTTGCTTATTTTGCTTGGGCTTTGCTGTCATATCCAAAAATCATTGCCAGTATCAAAGTCAAGGAACTTTTCCCATATGTTTCCATATTATAGGAGTTCTGTGGGTCAGGTCTTAAGCAGACGTTTTTAATCCATTTCAAGTTAATTTTTGTGAATGAAGTAAGAAATAATGGGGTACAGTTATTTTGCATCTGAATATCCAGTTTTCCCAGCAGCATTGATTGAAGAGTCTTATCTTTTCCCCCATTGAGTATTCTTGGTTCCTTTGTCAGATATTAGTTAACTGTATATGTGTGTGTGTGTGTTTATTTCTGGGCTCTTGATTCCTTTGCTTTGATCTGTGTCTGTTTTTATGCCAATGCCATACTCTTGGTTATTGGAG